GGTTCCTGATCGACTGGTACTTGATTGGATCGAGTCTCTTCTTTGAACTCTTCATGTCCCGATTTGTTCGAACGCAGGTCTTCCCACCAGGAAAGAACTTTAACCGTCACTGGAATACCTGATTCCTTGCAATGTGGGTTACGAAATCCACTAGGATGAGAGATTCCGATTAAGCTTCGGCGTCACCACTGATCTCCGATAGTGCCGGTCCGACACTCATGGAGTTCAAATTCGCGCCCGTACCAGGGCCCAAATTACCGCCCCAAATGTTCAGACTCGCTGGCGTAGGAAGCGAGAGCTGTCCAGGGGTTGAAGGATTTCCCTGATGTTGATGATATTTCTGTTGGGTAGCGTTGGAGGCCAATGTTGTGCAGAGTTATACCACGGAAATGACCAATATGGCGGGGCCATGGGCGACGCCATATTGAATGACTTCTGCCCGCTAGCGGTAGCATTGCTGGCTGTAGGCGGGAAATTCCATTGTTGTACGGGGAAGAAGACGGCCCTGGCTGATTGTGAGGGACAACCCAAGGCGAGGTCAGTCCAGGCTCATTTGTCACGCTCTCCTGTCAGTGGCAGAAATTGGGCAAGGCGGCCTGCTTCCCAATTCTTCTGCACGTAGACCACCAGCCCAAGGCGAGGCTGGGGCCTGTGACTTACGCACTCGTTCAACCCTAGGCGAGGTCGACGAGGCAGCAGACAGTCCCGAGGCCATAGACGACGATCTCAAGGCTGAACCAGGCACATCTTTAGCCTGCTTGTCGTTGACTTTCCCTTTCTTGGTCGACATATCAAAGCAATAAATGTAGAAAAACAGAACTGGTTGTAGCTACGATTGACTAAGTGAAGAAGTGAAATTGAAGACATAGTGTAAAATACGTGTGTGCTAAACTGTACCACAGGAAACAAAGACATGCTTCAATGGTTTCTTGGGGGCTTTATACCCAGCGTGCTAGGGCTAATTTTCATTTTTATGAATGAAGGAATGATCCATTTTCTTCAAAAGGGTGGTGCAAACCATATTACCAGGGACAATAATACAGAGTGAGTCTCTCCTCCTCAGCCTCATATAATTCCAATTATGTGGCAGGTAAGAACCCTTACATAATTAGAAATTATTAAGTAAAGTTAAGCAAAGTAAAATTCAAAGTAAAATTTTTCGTTGACAGGCATTCTTCATTGAGAAAATCAGGAATAAAGACATAACTGTTGTCATCTTTAACAAGCTCATGTGAAAAGGCTGTTACCTGCCATATGTTTTCTAATTGTAGAAAAGTGTTCGTTTAATGTGTCAGCATTGTTGGTGGGGTCATAATTTGGGGAAAGGATAAAATTTGGAGAAGTTTTCTGTTTCTTACCTTTAGCTTTTTTGGTAGCACAGGTGAAATGCTTTTTTTTTTTCTATGGCTGATGTAAAGTATTCACTTCTCTTGGAGAAGATTTTGTTAGTTATTGTTATGTGCAGCTTTTTTAAAGAATCCCAATGGATTAGCAAGCTTGGGTATTTTGCGATTTTGTGTACTCGATTATGCTGTCGCATCAGTTGAAGAACTTCCCAATCAAACCAAGGAAAAAAGGCACCCTAATTACATTCAGTTTTTGGGGGTATGGAAGTTAATAATACTCATAAACGGAGTGCACACGGACCATGTTTCATTAACATCATAACAGTTAAGGACATGTTGCCATGGTGTATTACTGTGGTGTTCTTTAACAACATCATTATCTATATCTTTTAAACATATATTAATTGAACTGTCCTTTCTCACATCCTGAAATCTTAAGATTTCAGGACGCGAGATTTTTATGTTTTAGGTTGTTCACTTAAACACTCACTTGTTTAGCGTTAGTCGGTGTGCAACTTGGCCCAAGGCACCAAATCTGGATGACCCGGATCCCACCATCTCTGATATGTGTGTTCCTGAATGCCACAGTTGCCAAGATTCATACATTTCGGGGTATAGGTGCCATCGCCATCATAAGCGTAGACGCCGCCGTTCTGGCTCTAATTCTTCTGGACAATTCTTGACTAGCTGTTCCACTGATTTCATCACTGTCATCATTACGGGAAGGGAACAGCATCTTATTCTTCCTGACAATTCTTGACTAGCCGCTCCACTGATTCTCATCATTGTCATCGTTACGGGAAAGGGAATACACGAAAGCACAATAACATGTCAAATATTTATCTTCCAAATAAACAAAAATCGTGATGGAAAACTAATTGGCCAGGAATAAGCTTTTAATCCCTCTATAAATGAGAGTGCTCCATTCTCCAAATCCACCATGCAGTAAACAGGTTTGTAAGGTATAACATATATTCATATTCTCGTGATTTTGAACCAATAAGCCATTTGCGAGTTAAATTTGAATAAAATCTGGAACGCTGACTTAATCCAATGCTTTACACGTTTTAACTTTGCATTCTCCCGACCAAAGAGACTGTTACTATATCACGTGATTCGGGGCAAGCCTTATGCTAGCAATCCCCAGCTCCGGCATGGTATGGTGTCTTTGTGCCATTCTCACCCATTGTGAGCAATGTATTGGTGCTCTTATGTAACTGTGCAAGAGCTTGCCCCGAATCATGTGATTAGCAACAGTCTTGGTCTGAAGAATTCAAATTTAAAATGTGCTGAGCATTCGATCTGAGCAAGTCAGTGTACCGGTACCAGATGTTTTTCAAATGTAAATCCCAAAGGGCATAGACTCGCAAATGGCTTATTGGACTGCTGCATCCAAATGTAGAAGTCCCATAAATTGTGTAGGCCTACTAAGCCAAGATTATGTTATTCAAGATTGTAATTGTAATTGACATACACACATATTGGGGTCGAGAATGCACAAACCATCCCCGCATGTACAGTCATGTATGTGCTATATCCTTATGTATGTTGCAAGTGAACCATGGGACGTTATGCAGATAATGCAGTATCTGTCTATATCGCAGCACAGTGCGCAGCACGCAAACAAAACCTAGCCAATTCTCGACTTAATTTCAAGTCTAGTTCAGTAGATGTCTACCTCTACTAAACTTTATTAAAATGCCAAAGCAAAATAGTTAAAATGATGGAATCCAGATGATATCAACTCCCATTCACAAAGTATAGGTACTCCTCACCATTACTTATAAATGAATAGAATGGACAGAAATTGCATTTGAAATTTTGATAGTTGATGTAGAGTGTTATTGCAACTTTATTCGGTGGCTCAAAAATTGCTGTTTTTTCTCCTCAAGTTCAATTACCCAAGGTTTTCACTGGAGAAATACACTTATACAATTAGGCAACTGTCAACACTTGTAGACCATCACAATTAACCGGTGCAAGCAAATGGAGATAAAATGGTGACGAATATTTAAATTGGTAGGTGATTCTGTGAACTAGTTAACAAAGGGTTGATTGATTTCAACCATGCAGTCCTTATTAATCAAGTGGCCCAGCACGTGGATGGCAAGTTGTCCTTGGTAATCACAAGAATAAACAGGTAGCCAAATACTGATGTGGGCAAGTTTCCCTCCCTTTTGTCCCTCCCTTCGTTGAATGAGCTAAGAGAGAAAAGCAATAGAGGAAATGGAATAATATGCACATGGTCATATAATAGTCATTATAATCTGCTAACCCAACTTATGAAGCACCCTCACTTATGGTGAAAGGGCATAATAACTAAATAAACTGATGAGCCCACGCAGTAAACACTGAGTCAGTATCCCCATAATATGTATACAGCGGTGTACATTACATTTACATAAACCGGGTGGTAATCCCCTTTCAAAGGTCCCAATATTCCCCCTAAATCCATCTACACCACCAAAGTCACACCCCCCGAAGCAATAATGGTAAGAATGAATGATCACTTACCCCACCAAGTATCTCTGACTCAGAGTGTGAAAATGAACCTTTTTTGCACCCTGGAAATTATTAAGCCTTCTGACAAGTTTCTAGCAAAACACACGCCCTCATGCGCTTGCATAAAATGAAGCGCGCCCTCTCGCGACAGAGTGTGCGCAGCTGCAACAATAGTCATTCTGCTTTGGCTTGGAACTGCCCACCTGCAAGACAATTTTATTAACAATAAACAAACAGTACAATACATTTTCATAGAAGTTAATTAATGCATAGTTGTTTTTCTTTTCAATATACATCTGTTCTTGTTTTCTACTGGTACTGGCAGTTATATTTTGCCTTTTATACTTGTTGGTGTTGAAGGGTGGTCAAGATTTCAGATGGCTGGTTGTGATTGCAAGCATGTTGGTATACCAGAAGATGCTTTTAGTCAGGTGGCATATGGTCGGAATCATGACCGACTGGTCCAAAACACCAAACTTGGCAGAAAGATTCTTATAGCCCTAGAGAAGAATTTAAAAGGGGTTACACCTGAAATTCTTATGGGAAGGGTGCCTAATTGGCATAAATGGTTAATACCTGCCGTGTCCCGCATTTTGGTATATTTTAATTTTTATTGCAGACTCACTGGTGGTATTGCGCATGCCTAAGTGAAGATTGTGAAAGTTCAACCAACCAAAGTGTAAAAGGGACCAGATTTCATGGGAGAGACATACAACATTTCATTACAGAAGACATAAGTTTGTTGTTCAATTGTAAAGAGTGTTTATTTTATGCAACTATGCATACCTCCAAGGAAATCTTGAACCATAAGAGAGAAGTAACAAGGTGCTATGGTAACGGGTCTGCTGCTGAATGGTAAAGTGGACCGTCAATCATAGTGCCATCAGATCATGTATGTTGCATTACTGTGGATTAACTTTTCACACTGATACATGTTAATGCACATAAGTAACATGAACCTCCTCAACAAATAAATGGTCTGAAACATGTATAGAATTATGGATGGTCGCATATTTTGTTTATAAAAACATTGTCACATGTTGTTTATATGATCCAACAGACTCCCAATTTTTTTCTTCCTATTTTCCTTTATTGAATGTCATTATAAGGTTGTCTTAATTCAAGATTTTGACTATGATATTTTCTTTGCAGATGCTACATCACTCTGACCACTGCTCTTCATCTCCACCGTGGTGGATCCCAAAGGGCCCTGCTGGTACTGGCAAAACAGAAACCACCAAGGATTTAGGCAAGGCCCTAGGCAACTATGTGATTGTGGTTAATTGCTCCGAAGGTCTGGATTATAAGTCCATGGGAAGAATGTTTAGTGGATTGGCTCAGGTAAGAATATACTTTGACTTTCACACTTAATCATTCTGTAGCACCTGTGCTCAGAGTCATGTTGAACAAAAACAAATGTATCTGGAGCGACTCAGGCTGACCCAAATAGACTGTAATTTCAGACAGGCGAACTTATTAATTTGCCATTGACCAGCGTGATACATTGATGTATGTCAAAATGTTCTTATTTTACTTCAAATCTCCGAAAAGTTTGGTTCTGCACAATACTGAAACAGTTAAACAGTATGTTAATGCCCCATTATGTATGAACTCTACAAGTCTGTCAAAAGTTACCCAAATTATGCAAAATTTGTATTATAAATAATATAATCAAGATGAAGTGGTTTAATTGGTATGAAATAATCAGTGCTGAGGATGTAGTTTCTGTGAATTACAAGTGTTTTGACGTAGGTTTATACAATGTAAAGTTGCGTTGCCCTTGCTCTTCAAACATTATTTTGTGTCTATTAATAAATGAAAAAAGTAAGACTGCTGCAAACTGCTTACTGACTGGGTGGACCTGAAATATATAAATCTAAAAATTAATGTGGCCTGACGTTGCGAACTTAGCAAGTTCTTCTTCAGAGGCTAAAACAGAAATGACAGAGGTACATACATTAACATGGGGGTGCACACAAACATGCAGGGATGAAAGAAGAAACACAAAAGGAGGATTAGGTGGAAAGGGTGTGGAAAGATGCAGGGGAGGGTGGATGAGAGAACAAAGAAACAAAGGGAGATGGCAAACCACAAGGGGTCTGGTATGAACAGGGGAGGGACCAGAAAGGGGAAGGATCAAAGGTCACAGGGAGTGGGAACGGACAAAAGAGTGTGGGAGTGAAGGGGATTATGCGGGGGGGGGGGGGGGGGGGGGGGGGGGGGACAGTATGGAGGTGGAAAGGGATGAAAGATGGGGGAAGATGGGTAAACACAAACAATGAAGACCAGATGGATTATCTGTAACAGAAGACAATGGAGGAAGAAAAAGATTAATCATTTCCAAGTTGGATGTTGAGACCATGTGGTTGAATAGTCCGAAGACGATTCATCCACACTTTCTCTCTGCTGAGGCGAACTGAGTCCTTGCGATGGCCAAGAGATTCAATGCCCTGCAAAATCATATCAGAAATGGAGTGGTTAGGCAGGTTGAAGTGATGACCAACAGGGGTGTCTAGTTTCTTGGTGTTGACCGTTGACCGGTGGGCATAGAAACGCTTCTTGAGCGTATTCTTAGTCTCACCTACATACTGCACTCCACAGACCCTGCAAGAAATGAGATATATGACATTAGGGGTGTTACAAGTGATGTTACCAATGGTTCTGTGGGTAGTGACAGAAGAGAGGCCAGAAAAGGAGTCAGACTCCTGGATATGAATCTGGCAGACAACACATCTGGAACTGCACTTGAAAGTACCATGCTGGGTGGGAGGGGATGCATCTAAGGATGGGACCTCAGCTCGAACAATCAAGTCCCGTAGATTTCGAGGACGCCTGTAAGCCAATGTGGGGCCGTTGGGGATGGCGCGGGCAAGGCGATCTGAAGTATGGAGGATATGATGATTGTCATTAGTGATTTTGCGAAGGGGAGGGAGATTGGGGTGAAACGTGGTAACCAAGGGAATCATGGGTTTGGCCATGGCATCAGGGGCCTTTCCCGTGAGAGCTAGATTTCTGGGGATAGCTTTAGCTCTGGCAATGGCACGATGAACTTGGCGAGAGCTGTGACCCCTGGCCACCAAGTTGTTCTCAGTATCTGTGTATGGCGGGAGAAATCGGAATCATTAGAACAAATTCTTCTGAGTCTGAGTGCCTGGCTAAACGCTATGCCAGTTTTGCAGTGCCCGGGGTGACAGCTGGAGGAGTGGAGGTACTGGTGGGTGTCTGTGGGTTTGGAATACAGGTCAGTGGTTAGTGAGTTGCCTTGCTTGCGGACGGTGACATCCAGAAAGTGGGTTTGGTGAGCCGAGAACTCCGATGTGAATTTGATGGTTCTGTGGAAGGAATGATGTGGTTAGTGAAGGTCAAGAGACTGTCCTCATCGCTGGTCCAGATGAAAAAAACATCATCAATATATCTCCACCAGATCCAAGGGCGACATGGGGCCGAGGCAAGAATGCGTTCTTCGAGGTCACCCATGAAGAGGCAAGCCATGGATGGGGCCATGCGAGTGCCCATTGCAGTGCCGTGTACCTGTAGATAGTGTTCACCAAGGAAGGAAAAATTGTTCTTCGTTAGTATAAGTCTCATGAGGGTGCCAACATCACTGATGGGAGGAGTCGTGTGTCCTGCCTTGGCCAGAGCCAAGGAGCAAGCACGAACACCCTCCTCATGTGGGATGTTGGTGTACAGAGATGAGACGTCGAAAGTCCCAATGATGGCCGTGCTGGGAATCTGCATGGTCCTTGATTCCTTCAAGCTTGCGTAGGAAGTCTGGGGTGTCGTGAATGTATGACGAAATCTGTGGGACAAGGGGTTTGAGAAAACTGTCAATGAACAGGGAGATGCGTTCCGTGGGTGAGCCATTACCGGAGATGATGGGTCTACCGGGGTTGCCAGCCTTGTGAATCTTGGGTAGAAGGTAAAATCTGGCAGTCCTACAATCACAGGAGAAAGAAATTTGTGAGCTTTCTTGACAAATGGTCACGTGATCGCATATCGTCAAGTACCTGTTGTATATCTCGACAGAAAGTGCCTGTGGGGTCAGAGTCAAGGCGGGTATAGTTAGTGCGATTATCCAACTGACGGTGGGCCTCATCAATGTACTGCTGACGATCCATGATGACCACAGCTGAACCTTTATCTGCTGGCTTGATGATGATGTCGGTGCGAGAGCGCAAGGAGTTAAGAGCCAGGCGCTCCTCTCTGGGGAGATTATCATGAGTCCTGTGGGGGAAGTTGTCCGGGTTAGTGACTTGGGAATTTATAACTTGAACGTATGTCTCTATGGCTGGCACACGATTCTTGGGGGTACCCATGAACTCTTGACTCGAAAAGGCTCTGGCTCACACGGTTCACTGTCCAGGAAAAACTCACGCAGACGGATTCTACGGTAGTATTCCGTGAGATCTTGGCTGAGCTGAACCTGGTTCACAGAACGGGGAGCGGGACAAAAATTGAGACCCTTGGAGAGAAGTTTGTGCTCTGCGTCAGATATTGATGAGGAAGAAAGATTAACTACAGTGTTGACAGGGGGTTCTATTAATAAATGTTCAACTTATTACAACAACATATCTTCTTTTTTCCTTTTTGGACATCTGCAAACCACTGAAGAAAAGGATTTTGTTTTGGGCACAAACAGATCTGCTTTGCGAGCAGACTGGCTCCCAGTCAGTACATTATCAGTACTGATTGTGGGGTTGGAACCAGCCTACCCCTCGAGAACGAATTATTGTCTGGCAGGCAATTATTCCAAATTGTAAAGATATCATTCAATAACTAAACATGGACCCTTTTGGGGAGTCAATGCCTCATTCAAAATGAATAACTTTTGTATCGCTAGAAAAATAGCAATTAGAAATAGAATCTATATTTTTTTAAACTTGTAAATAGCACTGAAATGCATCTTTAAAATGTCATTTCTTTTTTGCTATCAACCAAAAATATTAAGTATTAGTTGATTTATGTGTTTCAATTTCTAAATCTCATCAATTTTTTTTAACGCAATAATTAAGCAGATATTTCAATATTAGGCATTAAATAGCCTTAATGTAATTTGTGTCATCAGAAACATTAAATGTGTGGTTGAATAATAACTGAAAAAGCAGTCATGTTTCAAATGTGAATAAGAGCATTCCTTATGTATATTTGAACCAAATAGTTATATAATAATAAGATATTTGTAATTGAACAAATGCCTTATTTATAATTAAAAAAATTGAAATATGGTGGGAACATGAAACCTGATCCCAAGATGTGCATATTACTATGCATTGTAATTATTGCAATTATAAAGTTAGATGATTGTTGGATGCTAAAATTAAGAATTGTACAGGAAACCTGGTACAAACATTAAGCCTAATAGTGTTATCAGATATCACCTAAATGTCAGCAATTTATTGTCAAACATTGGCAAAATATACTGTAAACCACTTGTGAAAATTTTCAGAAATGCATTCATGTGAGAGGGAATTGTATCATTGTCTCTTTAAGGGACACCCTCTGAAGGCAATTCCCCCCCCCCCCCAAGTTAGAGGACTAATAACATTACGAACCTGCATGTAGCAAGACATTTGTCAAAGGCAACAAAAGTCAATGATGTTGTAAAACTAGAAGTCACATATCAATTTAACAATGATTGAATTTTGTGCATGGTTACATACTTTAAGAAGTGTACAATTTTGCGTATTTCTTTTACTCTAAGTCATGATTGAACTAAACAACACATGACATGCATGTCACTATATGCTGTGCCTGAATACTTATTATTTACCAAAACAAATGTGAATGTATTTTATGGTTGATTCAGCCAAATTTGGACAGTATCTTCCTTGACCGGAGTCCTGCCTAAATGGTGCACACCTGTAAATAGGCCTAAACCCATCCGCCAAGCTCATGAATAAAAGTTATACCCTCAAAATATTCTGTATTAGAGAGTTCCGAGAGTCATAACATCATGAACATTGGGGAATTGAAGAGATATGGCAATGAAACTCTGACCCGGACTTGGGGCTTTCAATTCAGAGCATTTTGGATGCAATTGGGCTTGAAAGTGGCACTATTTTGCCATGTTGTGGAGGGATCCTTTTTCAAGATGGCTACTTTTCCACTTTGGGAAAAATAGGGATCATCTTCTTTGTGTGAGAATTCCTCAAAAAGTTACTGTTGCACCCTTAGGTGACCAGCATGTGGGGTCAAAGGTCACCTAGTGGTCACTAGTGGTCATTTTCTACAAAATTACAAAATGCTTCTTACACAGTCTTGATCCATTTAACGTCAAACTTGGTCAGTTACATCTCTGGACCAACCCTCATGTAGGTTGTTACAGAACTTGGCCAATGGTCACCTAATTGTCAGTAGGTGTTATTTTCTCAAAAGTTACAAAAAAGCTTAATTCTCCCATGTGCAGTGTTCGTCCAATTAATGTCAAACTTGGGCAGTTACATCTCTGGACCAAGCCTCATATAGGTTGTACACAGATTTTGGCCTATGGTCACCTATTGGTCAGTTGGGGTCATTTTACTGAAACATGTAGAGTGAACTTTTGCCAACATTCTTCATCTGATTTGAACCATTTTTGGCCAATTACATCCTTGACCCACACTCCAATTACAAGCTTCTAACAGATTTGAGTCAGTGGTCACTCAAGTGTTCAATCAATTGGTGGTCATTTTCATTTTCAATGGCTTTGGAACCAGTTGGGGATCATCAATTTCACAACACCACGAAACCAACAATAATGGCTGTGTGTTGACACGTCATAAGATTTTTTATTTTCATTTAACTTTGACGCGCAGCGGTAGCCTAGCGTTTAATGGGCCTAACTGCAAACTTTATCCCAACATGTCATGGGTTCAAGTCCCCTGGGAATCAGATTTCCCCCCCCCCCCCAAATAGTTATTTTTCTTTCTTACCTTCATAGCTTTTAATCAAGTCCCCTACTTCTCAATGAAATGAAATTGCACTTATTGATGAGATCAATTTATTTGTTTGGAAATATGCAAAATTATTGTTTCCAGCATATCATTAAAATTGATTTCAGCCGCATGATCTTAATTACAACCCTGGCGAGATCACCAATTTATTTCTTTTGAAACTTAGTGTAAAGATGAGGTAATGGTCAGACGAAATCATCAAACCTGCTGCAATTTACTGCAAAAGTCACTTAGTGGTCAGCTTAATTCTTTTTCTGGGGAAAAACTTCGGGGAAAATCGCTTAGACCTTCTTTTGCTATGCGATCTCCTTCATAGTGCACGTGTCCTGGCATGATGAATCATGAGTGAGCCCTTTACAGTTTGATTCAAACTGGCTGATATTAGTGATTCGTGAAGCACATTCTGCTCTAGTATTTCAATATGTTTATTCACTAAAGAATCAATAAAACCATAGAGAGCTAGGGCTTTTTCAGTGCACAGTGAGTAATATGCAGCCTGGCAGTTTCTGGCGCTGCTGTGACTAAAGGGTTAAACAAGTAAAACACTCCCCCTCTTTGCTTAATTGTAATACATGTAAACTCCACTTTCAATCTGATTTTATCAGCATTTTGGAAACGCAGTTGTCTTTGATAAAAATTTCAGAGCTGTATTAGCTTTACAAAACTTTATAAAACTATTAGTGATTTAATTTGTAAGAGTGGTTACATTTCTGGAGTGGTTATATTTGTAATTTCTGGAGTGGTTACAGTCTGGTTCCAAGGGTAATTTTTTTCCCTTCATGTCCAACTGTAAAGTGCATCGAGTTTTGTTTCTGTTATGTTTTGCGTTATATAAGATTGTTTTACCATTATTATTATTGTTATCCACAGGGAGTAATAGGCAGGATGGTTTTGGGCGGTACTGTTTCTAATGGGTTACACAGGTACACCAAAAATCTTAATTTTGATTTGGTTATGTAACTAACTATGTAACTGCAACAACACTTTATGATTTCCAGACTGGTGCATGGGGTTGCTTTGATGAGTTCAATCGTATCAACATTGAGGTACTGTCAGTAGTGGCCCAGCAGATTCTGTCCATCCTGTCTGCACTGGCTGCGGGGCACTCCAGATTTGTCTTTGAAGGCAGAGAGATCAACCTGGTCTGGTCTTGTGGAATCTTCATCACAATGAATCCAGGTGTGAACATTATTTTGTGTCATTCAATGTATACCCTAGTGCATTTGGAAACATGTAGTCTACTTATAATTCACTTACCCAAATAGCTGCTACATATGCATATTTATTCAGCCGACAGGCTCAAATGCTAAAAGATTTAATCAACCGACGAGCGTCCTCTCGGGGCCTACCCATTATGCTACGTCATGAATCCGCCATTATACTTCCTCTTTTTTTCTAGCGACGGCATCGTGCAGAAGCAAACATTTTTGCTCTCGCCTTTTGTACGATTTTCGCTTTAAGAGTTTCTGTTTTATAGAATTTATCAACCAAGTGAGTTGTGTAGAATCTGTAGAGTTTGGTTTGAGTTAAGTGGTTCTCATTTGGAGTGATTTTGGAGTCATTTTGCTTTCGTTTTTCTTTCACGTGGCGTAGCAGGTTTTTTAGCCTTTGTCTGACACCACGTGCGATGGGCCAGGTCGGCACCGCGGGGCTAACCCAGTGACGGGTAGGCATCGTGGGTTCTCCCTTTGGGATCAAGTGCAATCCCTTTATAGCCGAGTCGGCTTTCCTGAGTTATTATTATTATTTCTGTTTTACAGTTATCTAATAATAATATTTCTCTGTCAAAAATAATAATTTCATAATTATTAATTTTGAAAAAAAAAAAAAAGCAGTGCATTTAATTTATGAGTCCATAGACGGACGAATCCGTTAAGGCCTTAGGGGAGACAGTGCATCGTATCCCCGGAGAGAAGTGCGGTTATTCTCCACAAGGTCTGCTAGTCACCCCACACATGGGGCCCCTGTTCCAGAAGTCAGACTTTCGGCCGTTCAGGGGACTAGCGAAATGTTCCGAGGAATACAGCGGTTTCGGCTGTTCTCTGTTCGTTTCCCCCTAAGCTCGCGGTGAGCTAGGGCCTAGCGAGACACGTTCAGTGGGGGTATATCGACAGAGGTCGTTCCCTTCCCCCCTGACCGTTTCAACTAGCTCGGGGAGCTAGTGAGCTAGGAGAGGACGTTTCGTTGGGTTTATCGACAGATGTCGTTCCCTACCCCTCGACCGTCTTAAGCTATCCCAGTAGTGCGGCAATAAACGAGATAGCGGTGAGATATTCGTGGGTATATCGGCCACTGACCGTTCCCTTCCCTCGGCCGTCTTGCCTGGCGTGTAAAGAGAATTTTCGTGGGGTATATCGACCAACGATTGTCCCTTCCCCCCCCGGCCGTTCTCAACTGCATTTATCTTGGTTGTGCGATAGTACGAAATACGAGATAGCAGTGAGTCCCACGCAAGGACATCGCCATAGTCTGTAACGGTCATCCCATGTTACACGTTTTGGCCGTCATCAGACGTACGTCCTACGGTATGGAACACCGTGATGGCACCAGGGATAAAACTCCCCCCAGGTGACCAGCTGTAAGGGTTCCACGGTTAAAAAGGCCGCATCAAAGACCATCAGTGGTCCCAAGGGTAAGACCCAAAAAGGGACCCTAGTCGCTAGCAACCCAACGTCGATTTCCCGTGGTTCCATCGGAGTTTTTCGCCTCGTCCCCCTGGTCTGCTGGCTCCAGCAACCCTCGGGGACGATCAGTCATGGAGCGGTAAAAGGATTCAATCCTCACCGGCCCCGTCTGCGCGTTCATCGCACTCCGAGCATCCTGCTTCCACCCGTGCGGAATGGGCAGGACTCGCGGTCGACGTCATTCTTTGATCGATGCTCCGGAATTCCCAGGATATTATCGGAGTTTTCACAGTCAAGTGAATCAAGTCACCCAAGTAAGAAAAGGAAACACAAGACAGCGCCGTCTTCTTCAGGGGATCCCCCCCGTAAGTTAAAAAGAAATACAAAGGTGTATCCACGGAAATCTTTTTAAAAGCTTTCCAGGACATCAATCTTTCGCTGGCAGCCCTCACTAAACAACAACAATGGAGATCGGCCCTAGCGGTGACTGGGAGGTCACTCCCGGTGGCCACATCTCCGGACCCAGATCCGGGTCTAATCCTGCCGGATCCGGGTGTGGTCCGGCCGGATCCGGGCTTAATTCAGCCGGATCCGGGCTTAATTCAGCCAGATCCGGGCGTAATCCTGCCGAATTCGGGCGGGATGAGAAGGGAACACACTGGGCCCCCAGATCCTGGAGTTGCCATTAGTGTCAGCTCCGATAATCCACCTACTCCGGGCCGTGATTGGGCGCCCCCGAGATCACAGGTGGGAATTTCTTTACACCCATCTATAAATTTGGGCACTTCTGTTCAAGATGTTCCTGACATAGATGTCGATAGTCCTCACCCCCCTTCCACTCACTCACAAGATGGGTGTTCTGGGGATGAAGAGGCCACTGACCCTGGACATTTTTCGCAGCTATGATCCACCTTTCCCAGCTATGCCGGGGGATCGTTTATGCGCCAATCGCATCCAACAGATCGCCGATTCAAAGAAATGGACTGCTTTCAAAAAAAGGTCGGCAGCCTATTTCCAGTTTCCAGAAAAGGACCGAGACGATTTCTTTACGGTTCCTGTTATTCCAGATACGGCCAAGGACAAATTGACTGGAGATAGCGGCAAATCCCCGACCAAGTCAATATTTGTCGATAAGACTAGAGCAAAGATGGAGGATACAATGAAGAAATTCCATGAGGCAGCTAGATTTGGCTCACAAACAAGCGCCTTTTTACTTTATCTGAATATATCGTCTCACATGTGAGGAAGATTCACAAATTCCAGCCGATATGTTAGCAGCAGCCTTTCGATATCTGGACGAAATACTCCGTTTTTCTCTAGATCAGTTTACGAGAATCTCTATCTTGTCCGCCAAATCACGAAGGACTAACTTGAGAGAGGCACTTACATACCGCACGAAGGCGCTAAGAAGAAGTTAAAAGACCTTCCTCTTATGGGCAAAGACCTTTTCGGAGGCAAATTCCAGGATATTCTGGGAGTTGAAGCCAAACGAATCAAAACAGCGGACAAACTGAGCTTGAAGAAGCCTTCAGCTACTAACGAGCCCAAGTTCTCTGGGAAGAAGGCAACGAGAGGTGCTCCCTCATTTCGCCCTTCCCCTAAGAAACCATTCAAGCCCTTTCGCCAACAGACGGCCAAGGCATCAGCTGGTGCAATGGTTTCAGCTCCACGCCCCTCCTCTGCCCCTGCGCGTCAGAATGTACAAACTAGCGGCCGGGGATGTGGCGGTGGGCCATCGGCCCCCCCGCCTCGGATGGTGGCAGTGACTCCTCCACGAAGCTGACCCCCACACTCGGGCCTGTTGGGGGTCGTCTCAGAAATTTTGTAGGGCCCTGGAGAGAGATCACCTGCGACGCATGGGTGCTTTCTATAGTCAGCCACGGCTATCAACTAGAATCTACAAGCACCCCTCCGTCGGAAATATGTGTTCACGAAACACTGGTTGCGACAAACACAGACAAACGATTAGCTCTCGAACAAGAGATATCATCCCTTATCGAGAAGAGAGCAGTCCGCTTGGTACCACCAATGGAACAGTTCACAGGCTTCCTGTCCTCCTTCTTTCTAACACAAAAGAAGGAGGCTGGCTAAAACCGCTCAACAAGTTTGTCAGACCCAAGCGTTTCCAAATGGAAACTCTCCATGTAGTTCTAGAGTCGTTACCCACACCAGCGTGGGGAACGTTATTAGACCTAAAAGATGCATACCTACATGTCCCCATCTTCCAAGAGCACTCCTGATTCCTACGTTTCCGGTATCAGGGGCGCACTTATGAGTTCACTACCCTTCCCTTTGGGCTATCGACCTCGTCAAGAGTGTTTACCAGGGTTGTGCGGGCAGTTGCATCATGTCTTCGTCGAGAAAACATAATGATTTTTATGGATCTCGACGACTGGCTGATAGTGGGAAAATCAAAAGACGAAACTGCTCAAAATTTGAGAGATACTTATACCTTGACAACGAGGCTAGGCTTCATCTTCAACAAGAAGAAGTCCAAACTAATCCTGTCCCACGAAATCACTTTTCTGGGAACAGAGATTGATCTACGCAGGGGCATAGCCGTCCCCACAGGGGAACGCGTTACCAGCCTGCGGAAGTGCGTCAAACTTTTCGTCAGACTTTTTCAAGTCGCTCCAGCGCAAGCTTGGCTGAAACTTCTAGGGATCATGGCCAGCTTAGTGCTTACTGGTCCCCTGGTGCAGACTGAGGATGCGTCCTTTGCAAATGCATCTTCTGGCACATGACAGACCCAAGACAGATCCAATCTCTCTAGTGATCTCGATCGACGAAGTCATTCAGCCACACTTTCGGTGGTGGCCATTGGAACAGAACATTCGGTGCAGACAGAGTTTCCCCAGAGGGGATCCTCATGCTATAATCTCCACTGACGCTTCCAACGAGGGCTGGGGAGCCTCCCCTCCCCCTCGACAAGCTGCAGGAATTTGGGACGACAACATTCGGTCCCTACATATCAATGTTCTAGAGCTTTAGGCTGCAGTCAACGCCTTACACCACTTCCAAGCAGACGCAGTGGGCCGGTCTGTTTAAATCAAGACCGACAACAGGACAGTGGTAGCATATATTAACAAACGGGGCGATACAAGATCACCCCAGCTGTGCTACCTGACTTGGGAAATTTTTTAGTGGCTAACCAGACACAAAGTCGATCAACGTGCCATTCACATTCCTGGTGCGGAAAACGACTTAGCGGACTCTCTCTCCAGGGGCAAAGTAATTCCCACGGAGTGGTCATTGAACAAGAGAATCGTTAGTCAGATTTTCTCGATCCTAGGTCGTCCACACATAGACCTGTTCGCCTCCGCAATCAACACTCAGCTCGCTGTGTTCTGCTCGAGATCCCATCATCCTCAGACATGGGCCTCGAACACACTATCAATAGACTGGACAAACATGTTCGCTAACGCCTTCCCTCCGATCTCAATCTTTACAAAGGTCATTGGGAAACTGGAGAGAGACAGGTGCAAGATCCTACTGATCGCTCCCTTCTGGCCGCGCCAGCCCTGGTTTCCGCGACTGGTGAGGCTCCTAATGGGCTCCCCTCTAATCCTCCCAGATAGTCACGACCTACTCTTTTAGCCTCAGTCCCTGTTCCGACACCCGGCTCCGGGAGATCTCCACCTAGCGTGCTGGCCACTGTCAAGCGCGCTTAACGATCAGCAGGTCTTTCTAAAGACACTGCAGCCCTGGCCGCAAAGGGACGTCGTCTCTCAACACGACAAATCTATGACGGTTAACTACGACATTATAGTAGGTGGTGCGAAGAACAGGCTGTGGATTCACTCTGTGCTTCTTTAAACCATTGTTCAGAATTTCCACTGTCATTGTTCAGAGCCAATTTGTCAGTAGGAATGGTGCGAAATTAACGATCAGCCATAGCAGCAGTTCACACGGCTTCGCTGATGGCTCATCCATTTCCTCTAATGTGGCGATCACTCACCTACTCCGTGGAATGTTCAATGAGAGGCTAACAGTCCGGAATCTAGTCCCATCCTGGGATCTGGGTTCGATCCTGAACCTTTTGGCCAAGGCTCCATACGAACCTTGGGGCCAGGCACCTCTCATTTATGTGTCAATAAAGCTAGCCTTTCTGCTCTCAACGGCTACTGCTAGGCGTAGCAGCGAGATCCACGCGCTGACTTTAGATCCGGGACATATTCACTGGGAACCAGGCGGGGTCCGCCTGATCCCAAAAGCGTCCTTTCTGACGAAAAATCAGACAGCAGGGTTTAGCCCTCCTGATATTTTCGTCCCAAAAAATTGGGTCCACCTCCTCTGTCCCCGCAAACAAATTATGGTGTCCTGTGCGATCCCTAAAATGGTATTTGGCACGCATTAAACCACTGAGGGGTGATTGCATGCGGCTTTTTATTACAACCATGCAGCCGCATGGCCCTGACTCAAGGGATGCCATTTCGCGTTGGGAAGAATCAGCAATCAAATACGCTAACTCGGACTGGCCGTCCAAAAGGGATGCTCCTGTCCGAGGCCTTGTCCGGGCCCATGACGTACACGCCATAGCGACGTCCTGGACATTTTTTAGCGGAGACCCTATCTCAGAAATTTCACAGGCAGCATGCTGAAAGTCGGCCTCGACATTCACATCTTGCTATCTACGTGACATACTCCAGACTGGAGGTAACATGGGGAAGACGATACTGATATCTCACCAGTCCTCGTCTAAGGACCCTGCCCTGCACAGTAGTCTTTCCTGGCCTGGCAAGGAGACCAACTAAGCAGGCAATAGATAACATGTATATTCAACCTAAATGGTTTAAATCATGATGTATATATATATACTGTTGTTTAACCATTTGGTTGAAGGGCGTCTCGCCTACCCGGCCACCAGTTGTTGGTGCCACTCTATGCATATGTAGTAGCTATTTGGGTAAGTGAATGAAGTAGACTCCCCCCCCCCCCCCCCCCCTCACAGAAGTGTGGGACGAGTCTACGAGTGATACTTACCCAAATAGCTTCCCGCCCTCCTCCCCACTCTTGGCTAGCGTTGCGATGATTTTTCACCTTTAGTGCACGAGAAAAAAGAGGAAGTATAATGGCGGATTCATGACGTAGCATAATGGGTAGGCCCCGAGAGGGCGCTCGGTGGTTGATTAAATCTTTTAGTGTTTGAGCCTGTCGGCTGAAAAAATATGCATACGTAGTAGCTATTTGGGTAAGTATCACTCGTAGACTTGTCCCACAATTCGGGGGGGGGGGGATTTTCAATTGTACGTATACACTTGATTGCCATAACACGATGGTCTGACAGTGTACCAGGACAAAAATAAAATTTTCAATTTTCAACCTGGCTCCATGCATGAATGCAACTAAGCTATAGATCAAGTGATTCCTTTAGCATTAAAGTAAACTAAATAAATTTACACAAAACAAACAAATAAGATATTACTAAACAATGCCAACAAGCATGGAGAAGTCAAAGCTGGATTCTGCTAACCTTCATGACAAGGACAGATTATTTTAATCTTTAGTTATTATACTTAGCTGGTTTTATTGACTTTAAACCCCCTCCCCCTCCTTACCTAATATCTTTGGTGTGGTTTTGAAGGTTACGCTGGCCGGACAGAGCTGCCTGATAATTTGAAGTCCATGTTCCGTCCGATTTCCATGGTGGTGCCAGATTCTGCCTACATTGCTGAAATAATTCTGTTTGGTGAAGGTTTCAGCAATACAAGGGTAAGCAGTCATATTTTCACTTTAATTATGCCTGTTTACTGGTTTCCCCGCAGTGATGAATAAAATACAAAAAAAAGTGTACCAAGTCAACACTTTGTGAACTGTCATTTCAAATCAACTACGCATATAAAAGAATCATGGCTCATCCTGGAAACCAGCGAGGGATTGTGTTTGCTGTGCCCTCACAGCCGCTTTACTCTACTTAATAGTGTAGTGTAATGCTACAATATGTTAAGAAACTTGTTTAATATGTGTCCATGTGCGTGCCCTCCTATTAGTTGTTGATTATTTTATGAAGTCTAATAGGACCATGCCCTTTAATATGTAGGCATTCATTTGGCTTCAAGGAATATACCAGTTAAGTAGCTTTAAGATTAGATATTGTGAAAATACACTTTTCAATAGTGCTATTTTTACCCCTCAGCCGAGAGGCTCGAGGGGTATTGTCATCGCCTACGGCGTCCGTCGGTCCGTCCGTATGTCCGGGCAGCTTAGTTTTTGGATGATAACTTGAGTTAGAAATGTTGTTTGGGATTGTAACTTCGGTAGGGGGTTGCCCTTGGGAGTAGGCAAGTTGGGATTGGTTTTGGGGTCAAAAGGTCAAAGGTCAAGGTCACCGTAGTGAGTTAAAGGTAAATGGTTTCCAGATGATAACGAGTTGGAAATGAGATTTTGGTGTCTTACTTAGGTAGGGGGTTGCCCTTGGGTACAGGCAAGTTGGATTGGTTTTGGGGTCAAAAGGTCAAGGTCACTGTGGTGAGTTAATGGTTTCTGCATGATAAGTTCAGTTAGACATGATATTTGAGTTTGGAATGTTAGTTTGCCCTTTTTCGACAAACTTCGGCTGAGGGGTTTCAACAGCAACGCTGTTATTTTTAAGAGCTGCCATAGAATGCCATGTCTCTCCTCCCCCCCCCCCCCCCCCCCCCCCCCGCAACCCAACTTTTAAAGTCATGCTTTTAAACATTTCTTTCTGATCTTTGTGACCCATGCTGAGGCATGAAGAATGTCTCCCAACCGTGTTTTGAGTAATCGGCGCTTGAAGTTGCCTATACTTGGAAAATCTTGTCAAAATCGATTTTGAGTTTGCTTAATTTTTCAGTAGCTACATGTATCTAAGATTCACACTGAGTGCCAGTGTACATTTTTTTTGGCAACATGTTTTGACAAAATTTTAACTTCACAAAAACATTTTAACAAACAGTTGTGAGCCCCCCCCCCCCCCCCAGCCAAATCCTGGGTGTGCCACTGGGTATGTTGCAGGATAAATGTTTTGCTGGAGTTCATGCTCTCAAAAGTGTAGAATTTTGCGACTTCAAACATTTTGAGAGCACAACAGAAAGGGCATATATTGCACAATTGTGCATACATGTGTAACTGGTGAAATATTTCAAGCATATTTCAATCATATCTTTTGGCACCTTTGCTTTTCCTATCTCTTTTGAAAGTTTTATTAATATTTTATATCCCAATAGTCGGTGCGTGGGATCGCTTTTTCGCAAGTTTGGATTGTTTTCATGTTCACACATTTTCCGTATATTGAAATTATTATTATCTTTTAAATAAAAGATACCTTTTTGGGACTTTGATCACAAGAACTCATATCAGGAGCTTGCGACACCATCACGGTGTCTTTGTCAACTGGTGTTGTTGAGGCCCTCACGTGACCCGTCACGTGACCAAGCGTGGTCGCGCGACAGGAGGCGGTCGTACACGTGGGCCAGCTCGTACTCTCCATCTCTGTTCATATGGGGGTGGTGTCTGCGGATTTCCACGGCCTCGCGGATTTTGCGTTTCCAGAGGTCGTCGTCCCTGGCGATGATCTTGACATTGTCCACAGAGATGCTATGTCCTGGGGTAGATATATGTTCACCAACTGCTGTCAGGGGGGCAGACCTACTGGTGTGTTCTCTGTATCGGGTCTGCAGAGTGCGAGCTGCTTCCCCGATGTATGTGTCTTCACAACCATCACACGACATCTGGTATACGAGGCCACATTTCTTGAGGTCTGGGGTCTTATCTTTTAGGCTGATCAACTGGGAGCGAAGAGTGTTGAACGGTTTGTGTGCTACCGTGACACTGTGTTCATGAAACACACACTCCATCTGTTCAGATAAACCTCGGATATATGGAAGAATGGCCATAGGCTGTTGCTTCGTATTGGTGGTTGCCTTGGAGGCAGCTCCAGTTGTTTGTTTCTTTTTAGGGATCTTGAATGCCCATGGTTGGTACCCGTTGGCAGTGAGAGCGTTTTGACGTGGTGAAGTTCAGTTTCACGGTCCTCCTTGTCTGTGATGACTTGGTCGATCCGGTGGCAAAGAGTGTGAACCACAAACCTCTTGTGTGCCAGGTGGTGGTTGGACCCAAAGTTCAAATATTGATCGGTGTGAGTCGGCTTAATTCCTGTAGATGGTTACTTTGGTGGATCCGTCACTTTTGATGTGAACGCAGGTGTCTAGGAATGGAAGTTTGGAATCTGTCTCTGGTTCCATGGTAAACCTGATGTTGGGATCGATGCTATTGATATGTTGAGTGAAACCTTGGATGGTTAACTCCCTTATCTCCACAAAGGTACATGTATCGTCTACATAGGGGTACATCGGTTTGGAGGGGTAGGAGCAGTAGACAATGCTCGACGTTCAAAATCCTCCATGTAAAAGTTGGCAACCAGTGGGGATACAGGGGAAACCATTGCAGTCCCATGAGTTTGCTGGTAATAAGTGCCGTCATACACAAAATATGTAGTGTCCAAACAGAAGACCAGCATCTCAATGATCTGCTCAACCGACATTTGGGTGCAGTTATGGGGAGAGTCGTCAGTTTCGAGTGTGTGTCTGACCACCCTGACCGCATCTTCAACAGGGATGCTTGTGAACAGTGCAGACACGTCGTACGACACAATCTTACGAGCTGGCCCACGTTTACGACCGCCTCCTGTCGCGCGACCACGCTTGGTCACGTGACGGGTCACGTGAGGGCCTCAACAACTACAGTTGACAAAGACACCGTGATGGTGTCGCAAGCTCCTGATATGAGTTCTTGTGATCAAAGTCCCAAAAAGGTATCTTTTTTTTAATTGATATAATAATGGGACAGGAAACGAACTTCCATGCTCGATATTATTATTCTCATTGTTTTATGTACATGTACATGTCATATTTTTGTTCATTTAAGGACCGCTGTGAGAAAATCTGTTCTTTGGCCCTGGGTAGGTCAGCCACACATTCCAAGTTTCTGGAAAAGTACCGTAATTTTCGGAATATAAGCCGCGCGACGTATAAGCCGCAGCATGCAAAAATCTGCAAATTCAGATTTTAGGTCGGCGTATAAGCCGCATCGGCGTATAAGCCGCACCAACTGCAGCAGTTCAATTTTGTAAGGCCTCCAAATTCTAGTCAAAATGCTCTGAACCAGTTCCATTTGCACTACGAAAGCTATAAAAGGGCCACAAATGTTATGTAAAATCATTTACAGTCGATTACTCTTACAAACAAATATGGAAATTGATGATGAGAAATAAAAAACGGGAATTGCTGCCGGCTGGCTCGTCAGTGAGCCTGTGCCTGCGAATGACATTATTTTCCCCCAGCACTTGAGAGAGTATGCAACCCACCATGTGTTGTCTGACTGGAGCGCTACAAATCCTGCTTAAGTTTGTGGCAACAGAGGCTGAGTTGTTTTGTCCTAAAGGATAAACAAGTTCGTTTTTACAGCAAAACTTATCAAATTGTTGTGATTACTAACGAGTAGTAACGTCAAAACTTCAAGTTTGGATCGTAACTTTCTTCGAAAACAGTCAACACGATGCAGAGATTTTTATGGACGAATCCATTAATTTCGTAGGGGTGGTTTCACCCCTGTTTCGAGTTTTACATCGTTTCTTGAATACATTTCAAGAAAAAAAATTATATTGTGACGTTGAACAACTGATTATCAAATAAAGATATGTTTCAAACTCCATAAAAAGTATTAGTTGTCTTTTTCCCTTTTTTAAACTGGGGAAATATTGGTAATTATTGTTCCCAAGAAAGTGCACCCGTTTATTACCACAAATGGTGTGGTCCATGGGGAATCCATGCAGCATGCATGCAGCATATGCAGCATCACGTACGGCCGGTTGTCGATGTCCAAGGGACAGCTTTCATCATCACTAGCCGTACTTTTTACCGCTCGGTATCTTTTTGTGGGACGTGCTTTCGGTTTGTTAATGACTTTCTTAATTGATAATTATTTCAGCCACACATCTCTTCTTGTACCAGTACATTAAATACACATGTAAATGTCATTTTTATTCTTCAAGTCTCGGCGTATAAGCCGCCCTGTGTATAAGCCGCAGTAAACATTTTCATGGGCAAATTCAACGTATAAGCCGCGGCTTATATTCCGAAAATTACGGTAATCAACTCCAGGCAGGAGGCCTGACTGCATGTACCTCATTATTATTTATTAGATAGACTGTAGCTTTTCTACACTAGGTACTTTGTTTTATCACCCTGCGCTGTTTATTCATGGTCCCTGTGTGGTTTGCCCAGGAATGTGAGGCACTGGCCAACATCCTTTGGTTTAGATTAGCGTGGTTCAGTCTTATGTTAGCCACCGACAAGAGCACACACATGTTGTAAAAGTCTTGTGATTTGAAGAAATTTTACAGCGCTGGCAATTGCTGCTGAGAAATAAAAACAGTATTTATTCCATCTAAACTTGAAGATCCTGTATTTCCCCGGTCACACATGCAAATACCAACCTTGCCTCGTCATGATCCTGGAATTATGAATCCCATATTTTTTTTTTACTTGCTATTTGGGTAAAGGGTGATCATCTTTCTCCTTTTATTTACTCATTTTAAATCTGACATGTTCCGTAGTAATAAATGTCAATGAAACAAGTTTTACACTGAACAATATTTGGAATACTGTTTTCATTTTGAAAAGTATTTTGCAGAAATTAGAAGAATGAACGTTTTTAAATATATTGATTTTCTTATTTATTAGATTAAAAAAAAATCCAAAAATATTTGTTTTCTCTACTTGCCATCCCATATAATATGTTATTTTTGGGGTTTTCTGATTGGTATTTTCTTCTCTGGACATTATTTTATTGAATGTCTTTGGTATTGTTTGTGTGAATAATTGATCATCAATACAATTTGTTCTTCTTCTTTTTTGACAAAAGATTCTAGCAAAGAAAGTGCATACTCTGTACTCACTGGCAGTTCAACAGCTTTCAAAGCAAGATCATTACGACTTCGGGTTGCGTGCTCTTACATCAGTTCTTCGCTATGCTGGCAAGAAAAAAAGGGCAGCTCCCAGTGTTCCAGATGAAGAGGTAAGAAAAACAGCGCTCAAGTTGATGGCCTGTCAATAACCAGAACACTTTTTTGGAGTATCCACATGCTAAGCAAGCTCATTGCATGCAAAGAATTACTGTCAAAGTAGTAGAGGACAGGTAGATAAAGAATCCCTCAGCACATTTCCAACCCAGCCATTCTGTTGGCACGGTGACAATGGTTTCAAGAGTCTTAACTCCCCTGTCACTGTTTAGCGGATGGTACATGTATGGAATTCATAGATAAACAATTTCTTTACTTGATTATTCAGCTAGGTCATGTGAATCCACATGGCTGAGTATGATATTGAAACATTTCATGTCACTTTGAAATAGCTACTGTTCCTTTTCACTTTAATAGAAATCCCTATCAAAATTGTGTTGACTTGATATTGACACCTTTGTTTAGATTTTTAGTAGCAGTCCTGTGCGTGCTTATCATGTCAAAACCAAGATAAGAAAGGATGCTGTGAAAGGTAGTGCTCCCTATATCCACAATGAGCTTCACAGTCATATCTCTGTATCTAAACTCATGTATGTGAGCTATATCTGAATGAAAGCTATGCGTTTACATTTCTTCAAATATTTGGTTTCAGATTCTGTTGCTTGCGATGAAAGACATGAATGTACCCAAGATGACAGTCATTGACCTACCTCTGTTCAATGGCATAGTGGCTGATCTCTTTCCAGGAGTTGACACACCAGTCATTGATTATGGCAAGGTTAGAGAGATTGTATTGACTTGACCAAATGTTGTCTCAGTATTGTAATATATTATGCACAAAATAAGAGTTATGTGCTGAGTGTTTTAGTTTATTATGACATACTCCACAAAGCCTTTAAACAGAATAATGTGATATCATCTACATTTGTATTTTCTTCTACTTTGGGTGGCTTTAAGCTGTGGATATTTTCTTGAATTGTTTTGCATGCATTGCCTTTATTTACAGTTGCCAACATATTATTCATACGATTGTAGCTATCTGCAGTTGTACTAGTTAAAGTTAAGGTACCCTATGACTTACACGTAATATATTGTGGTCATGTTGGCAAAGTGTTACTTCTAACTGGGCCACTGTGTGGATTGGTCAAACTCCACCTGAAGATCTGGGTGTTCTAAAATAATTGGGTTTATTCACCACATCTAATCCCCTTCTACTTTTAGCAAAGAAAATAAATGACTTCAAAAGTTGTGTGGCTCATGAACATAAATATATTGAATGAAAGAGACTAGGAGTGAAACCATGGATCCTAAAGAGAAGGATAAACGACTCTGCCAAAGTTTTGGTAAGATGCTTGATAACGGCCTGTACAGGTGGGAATACCATGAATATTTGTGTCAACAAAGATCCAGACAGCTTAATCGCTTCACTGCGCGTGGTGGCTACCAAATTAGCAAGGCTGTGCTCTCAATATAGTATCAAATTTCGTCAAGCCAGCTAATTATATTTTTGAATATTCATTACCCTATATTTTGGTCTTTATTATTGAATTCCATTAAGTGACAACTACTTAACTATGTTAACGCCAAGCACCATATCTTTAGCTTTAAAACGAACTATTTGTCACATTTTTTTTCGGCTGCAGGACCACATAGAACGAAAACTTTTCGATGAAGGCCTAATAAAAAACAAGATTTGGATAAACAATGGTTTCAGTATGCACCTTTAAAAATAAATGAGGAATAAAAATATTAATATAAACATTTGAATATCAATATAAAAATTCAAAAACTTAATTCCAACAAACACTTGTTTTCGTACATGCACAAAATCTAAAAAGTAAAAAAAAAAATTCCACCAACTGGGGAAAAAAAGGCAATTTGTATCAATAAAGACTAATGTAATTTGAAAAAAAAAAAAAAAAAAATTCATAAAAAAAGGTGTCACATTTGCTGTTTTCCCCCTGGGTAAACACTTCATCTATAACGACAAAAACTGCACAATAGAATACCATCTGTTATATCCTGGAGTATTTGTTGTTTAATAATTTTGTAACAAGTAGATCTTTCCCAAGGAATGGTTTTGCTATTATGAATGTGTTCGTTTCAGATATGTCATGCGAAAAACAGAAAATGGCACACGTGGAACCTTCGCGATGTCCAAGTGCTGAAATAAAAGTCATCCACAATAATGAAATATACAATGTATGTTCCTACCTTGAAAGTCACGTATGTTCGCCTTCTTTACAGCCCTTTAGTCAAATATAATTGTCACTGAATTGAAATGATGTGCTGTACCCAACTCCCAACTCAAAAATGTGACTTTGTAACGATCTTTGTCGCGAGATCTGATGAGTTTTAACAAGATTTCAGGTGTTGGCGATTAACATGCCAATGGGTATTAAGGCCTGTTATCATGCATCCAACCAATTAAGGTAAATCCGTTCAGTGCAGTTTGTACTAGAGCTGAGAACAGTCGTTCATCCTTCTCTCTAGGATCCGTGGTGAAACTAACCTACATGTAAGTTCCCTGTGACCTCTTTGGTACACTTTTCTATGATTTGCAAATCCTGCCCCCGAGTCCATAAAGAGTTAGAGTATGAGGCCCATTGCAACTAGCATTGTGTTGTACATGTATGGTATATCCATTTCATAAAACTTATGACAACGCTTGAAACAAGTTACAAGGTTTCATCGCACAGTTTTATGGCACAATAAAAAAAAAAGCAATCATTTTACAGTGACCGCAATCATGAGATATTGTGATGTGATGTTGTAAATGATTTGAAATATTCATCTAAGCAAATTTGATATACCTTGAAAATGACACCTGAATTTCATATTAGATATCAGTCTATTACTTTCAAACCATGGTATACGTTTGCCATTTTGTTTCGTATTTAAAAACTTCCTGACGATTCATTGAGTCTTTGCTGATTATCATATGACTATTCACTGTGTACAGAATAAGTGCACAGAATAAATGCGCATTGAGCTATATAAATATGCTTGCGCAAGTCGAACTTGCAGCAAGTTTCATGAATTGGTTTGCAGGAGTGCATTGCAGCCATGATGTGTCACAGGGATTAGATACGTCATAGCATTGCAATACAATGGATTGAATGTTTTTATACAATTTTTTACATAATGGTGTTCTTAAATGGACCGGAAAACATCGTGGTTCAACTTTCAAATGTATTTCAACTTTCAAATGTTGTGGTTCAACTTTCAAATGCCATGGTTGAATTTTTCTAAAATGTGGGTCACCAAAAAATGACCCATGATGAACAAAAATATGAAATACGACGTATGAAAGTTTAAAATATTTATACTAGATCAAACTTATATGTGTATAGTGCAAAACATAACAGAAAGAAATTTGGATGCGTTTTTCAATTCGACATGAAAAGCAGACAAGAATAGCAACAAATTTATAATAACTATAAGCCTACTGAAATAGATGAGATTGAGGGTGGATTTGAACCAGTCCAAAGTGTCTACAGTTCAAAGAGGGGTTGGAAGTACACTCCACAGCCTAGGTGCAGTGCGTGAGAATGCCATATGACTTGGTTTTGGGTATCGTGGTTGTGAGGAGTCACTCCCTGATGAGATGACTGAAGCGTTCTTGTGGGCTCGTATGGAATGAGCTGGTAGCTTGTCTCTTGAGAGCCTTAAAGGTGAGCAGAAGAATTTTGTATTGGATTGGGTGCTTAATGGGTAACAATGAAAGTCTTTGAGGATTGGTGTGATGTGTTTACATTTCTTTGCGGCAGCAGAGTTTTGGATTTGTTGAAGTTTATTTACATCTTTGTCGGGGAGGCTTGTAAGTAGTCAGTTGCAGTTGTCAAGGAGAGAGGTGACAAAAGCATGAACTAACATTTCGGTGGTGCGCTTGTTGAGATAGTAACAAATTGAACCAATTTTCCTCAGTGCAAAGGAAGCCTTACAGCAGACGGCATTGACCTGTGGGTGGTGCATACTAAGGTGACTATCAAAGATCACTCCTAGGTCATGAATTGACTCTGAGGGTTGAGCGAGGTAGTCATCGTGTATGATGAAAAAGTTGGAAGACTTCCATCCTGCTGTCGTTCAAAACAAGGTAGTTGTTTGCCATCCATGCCCTGATGTTGTATAGCGAGGTCTCTGTTGGATGATTTCATTGGTATGTACAGTTGTGTCGGCGGTATATGCATGGGAGAGACCATGAAACTTGATGATGTCCTGCATCAGGGTAGCATATCACACAAAGTGGGACAAGTGCTAACCCCTGCGGTACTCCCCACTTCAGTGTACCTGGATCAGATCGCTCATCTCCTATAACTACAGTTTGTTTTCTGCCTGACAGATACGAACCAAACCAGTCAAGAGCTGTACCTTTCACTCAAAATCTTTTTGGTTATGTTGGGTAAGCAGGACTGAGAGGTCTATGGTGTGAAGGGCTGAGGAGAGGTCTAGGAGAACGAGAACTTATACATCTTTTTGTGTCCAGGCTGTGCAAGAGATCGTTCTAGGCTCGAACCAGAGCTGTTTTGACACAATGATTGCGTCTATAGGTGGACTGGGATGCAGCAAGCAGAGAGTGCTTGTTTAGGTGGGAAGTAAGTTGCTGGCTTACTACACGTTCCATCACCCTTGCAATGAATGGCAAATTGGATATGGTCTGTAATTCTGCAAGATCTCTGGGTAGAGCGTTGGTTTCTTGCGTATAGGAGTGATGACTTGAGAGCTGATGGGAACACTCTGTGCTGAAGTGACTGGTTCGTCATATCGCTGGTAGGAGAACATCGATACAGTTGCTGATCACACAAGCAGGAGCAGGGTCGAGAAAACAGGTTTTGATTCTCCAAGATTTACTGATCTTCAGAACATCTGCTTCTTGAACTCAGAGGCGTCAGGTTGTGACTGTGATTGCTTTGGCAATATTTGATTTGATTTGATTTGATATATTCACAATTTTCACATAATAATGATACAGATTAGTTACGGGCGTAGCCATGTCCAATGCCAAGCGAAGGCCACATACTTTATCTTAAAAGAAGCGGACCAAGTGTTGAGCAATGTCACTCTGAGTTGTGGGAGGGCAGAAATCTGTGGATTTTTTGACTGTCATGCTCTGAAAGACTAAAAAAGAAAAGGAACTTTAATTGCTATTGTTGATCTTCTCCTGATGGTAACTTTTCTTTGCCGTCTTAAGAGATGTTTGACACTCCGAAGTGGCTTGATGCTTTGCCTGATAGTCCACAGCTAACTTAGACTTCTTCCATTTCCTCTCTTTCGAGCGCTTCTTGCGTTTTTATGCTTGAAGAGATTCGTTGTACCAAGGGGCATTTGCGTGAAGCTGGACGTTGGTTGACCTGATGGGGGCATGACGATCAAGGGTAGCCTTGAGAGTGTTGTTGAAGAGGTTGACTTTCTCCTCAAGAGCCAGATTTTCAGGGTGATGGACCTTGGCAAATTAGTCATCGATAATAGCCTACAAAGATGTTTTAAAAATTGGACCACAATGTTTAAAAGTTTAACTACAGCATTTGAAATTTGAACTGCGACATTTGTCTGTTAGTTTTAAAGGTAGGGTATTTCATTTGTTGATTTGTGAATGTTTTTCCCTTGAAACCATGGGTGTCGCCAGGTTTTTTTCTAGAGGGGGGCAAAGCAATTTTTCCTCAAAAAATCCTTGTATTTTCTTTAGCATATTCTCAATTTATCATTTTTCGAGGGTGGGCTGAAGGACATTTGCCCACACCACCTCCATTGACACCCCTGCAGACGCCCATTTGGTTAAATGTGTATCAAATTAATAGCATTATGACTTCGCACCTCTTTTTTTAACTTTTTTTCTTTTTTTCGCTTTTTTTTTTTTTTTGCTTCTCCAGGGGAGGGGGAGGGGAAGCACCCCTCTTGCCCCCTCCCCTCACGACGCCTATGTTTGAAGCAACAACAGTGCTCAAAATCTAAAGAAGGGTGCTTAACAACTAACCTGATGAAGTTTTAGCTCAGTGAATGCTGTATAATCCGAGAAAACAATATTCAAGGAACTCGATTTCAATTCAAAATTTGCCAAGTCATGTTTTGAAATGCGCCCGAAATCAGCATCCGGGACACATTCCTGTACAGCCGATTGCAGCTACGTGTTGTCACTCACTGGACCGGCGAATTATAGCAACCGCGTGCGTGTGCGTTGTGTCAACACTTGTGCGCACCCATTAACGGCTTCGATTACAAAATGAACTACTTATGGAAATTTCCGAAGATGCATCTTTAGACACATCTTTTGAAATGACCTTCTTTTATAGCTTTCTTCAAAATGACAGCATGCCAGAAAGAACAATTTCACAGAGAGTTTTAAGTGCCCATACTATCTTTAAACCGAGGATGTTTTTCAACAATAATTTTGTCAGTTACTTTTTTGTTAGCTACAAATACCGTACCTTTAACCATACTTTCTTGAATCTCCATGCCTTATGAAAGGTGAATTATATACTGAATCACTGCGTGCAATGGATGTCTCATTCAAAGATCCTGTTGATCGGCCTTACATTGCTTCATGAAGTGAAACAATGTAGACACTAATAATGAGCCAACCACTTCAGTCGCTTAGTTTTCCTCCATGAAGATTGACTGCATTACTGACATTTGCATTGCTTAGAGGATCAAAGACTTAACGTGCATTTATTTCTTTAACAGATGAAGTCTGTGATTGAGTCGGAGTTGAAGACACAGGGCTATCAGCCCATACAGTCTACTGTTTTGAAAGTGATTCAGTTGTATGAAACTAAGAACTCACGTCACTCAGTTATGATCGTTGGCAAAACTGGAAGCGGGAAGACAGTGACATGGCGTATTCTACAAGCCACTCTCTCCAGGATGAAAAAAGAAGGAGACAACAGCTTTAACTACGTCAGGGTAAGTTCAAGAGATATACAATTAAATTGATTCACAAGTACTTTACTTTACCCGGTCAGACAATTAATGCTGACTCCAGGATAAATTGAAGTCAGTTGATAAGTACAAAATCATGAGGGGTAACAGATCCTTGCCTTTTACTCCCTGTACCACTCAAAACCACCCAAGCACTCTGTGGCTTTGATTCTGCAGCGAATAAAGACAATGTGATACAAGGTAGTACGGGTGCTAATGGGTTAAACCATGCCATGAAAAGAAATGGACGTGCTGTGTTTCAACTTGATTTAAAATTGTTTCTTATTTAGGGAGATTTTTTTGTGACTCGGCGATTCCTTGTTTCATATCCTCTGTTACATGTACATCAATCACAGGATTTTCCAATCAACCCTAAAGCAGTATCACTTGGAGAGCTGTATGGAGAATTTGATCTGAATACCAATGAATGGACAGATGGAGTGCTTTCAAGTGTTATGAGGCAAACCTGTGCAGGTAAATCTAGAAGATTCAAAAACAAAAAAGGAAGAAAGAAAGAAGGAAATAAACTCTCACATGTTCAGTGTAACACAAAGTACGTAACTTTTGAGATACATGACATTACAGTTTGATTTGTTTTCCATGTAGATTAATTGAATAACCACTTTAGGTGGTATTTTCAGACATCTTAATACATATAATGTGTGGATTTCAGTACACTAAAAAAAAAAAAAATAATTTTGCATTGGATCACGTTTTGTTTTTAACTCAACAAACGCATAGCTTGGTTTTAAGGTTCCTGCATGTCAACAAAACCAATCCAAGTTATTGAGTATGGGTTCCATACATGAACTAGAGAGGGCGCTCTTAACCAGTTTTGAGAGCCTTGTGGATGGAAGACTCCGCCTACTGGTTTGTGCGGGTACTGGTATAGCAAAATGTTGCGCACGACTGATTTTGTTCTTAGTGTGCACAAAGCCATATCGTCAGGGCGTGAGCGTCGGGCCTTCGCGGCAATGTATTTGAATGTCTCTTCAGTGAGTGTAATTAATGCTTTCCTGTAATTTGACTGTTTTCCTTAGATGAGAAGCCAGATGAGAAATGGTTGATGTTTGATGCACCAGTAGACACCTTGTGGATTGAGAGTATGAATTCAGTCATGGATGACAATAAAGTTCTGACGCTCATCAATGGTGAACGCATTGCCATGCCTGATCAGGTCAGTCTGATAAAAGGGACACCCATGATTTCACAAAGAGCTACACGTCATGACTCTAATTGCTACTTGCAATTCATGTTTTGAGCCATGGGTGAAAAAGATAGTATACGTGAGCATAGTATGGAAGATTTGCAGTAACACCATGTGAATATTACCTCTTTTGAGTTATGTGGTTCTGAGAAGAACAAGTTGTTTTAACTAGACATTTGGAACAGTGTGCTTTGTTCATTAGGAGACTGCCGGACTCTTGCTGGTGTTGGGGTATAGGTAGTGGAGGCTTGGATTCAGCAACGAGGGGATTAGTTCGATGGACCGTTAAGACGGGAGATGCTGGCACAGTATGCTGAAGTGGACTGTGTGTGCTCACTGAAGCATGTAAGATGGATGGAGGTACAGCTGGGGTTGAACATCAAAGTGGTGCAGAGTGCCGAGGGTATAGGAGAGCCATAGGCAGAACGAACTAATGAGGGGAACTATGAGGATTTGTTGGAGCCCATGGGTATAAAAGACCCATTGGACCTACAATGAGTGGTCACCATATGTCACTGATGATGCACCCTATGTCTTGTGGAACCGTACTGTGTTTTTAGATGTCCATGTTCTCATGGACTCACCAAGGAACCGTCACTGCATTATGGGGATGTTTCTTATTGTTAGCCAAATTTGGACCAAGTTATGGGGACTTTCTGCTGTCCCCACTGTGTTTTTGGCCCCAACAAATAGGCCTACCTCGTAGCGACAAGTGTATGTCCCCACAACTACGGAACAAGAATGTGTGAGTTTGCGGTACACACAGCGACTGAGGATGCCAGCTGGTTGTCTGGAGACCTCAACAGCTAGGAACGAGATGCGGCCATCTTGTTCCTGATCCATTGTGAACTGGATGATGCTGTGCAGCCCATTCAGGTGTTCCAGAAACAATCAGAGGTCCTCAGTGCTGTGCGGCCACACGATAAAGGTGTCATCCACAAATCGGAGCCACACACTTAGTTTCAGGTCTACTGTGAGAAGTAAATCTACAGACACACAATTCTGCAAGACATAGGTTACCACATCAGTGACATAATGACGACCACTCCTTCACTGTAGGTCCAATGGGTCTTCTATACCCAGGAGCCCCAACCGATCCCCATAGTTCTCCTTATTAGTTCTGCCAATGGGCTCCGTGCGCTAGCAAAAGAGGGTGCCGTTTTACCTAGCAACGACGTCCCATGGACGGGACACATACATTTCGCTGGTTTACGCACGCGCACCGTTCCTTGTGTGTGACGCACGTACACCAGGAGATTTGTACTATGTACACGCAGTGGCCGCGCTTCGCGGCAAAATATTGCAGTCAAGCAAGATGGCGTTGTTCGGTCACTCCCAACTGTACTTTGTTTGCCAGTGAGGGGGTACTTGTGAACGCAGCAGATGGGTCTCTATACCCTTGGCACCCTGCACTCCAGCTGTACCCCCATCCATCTTACACACTTCAGTGAGCACACACAGTCCACTTCAGCTTTATACTCGGCAACTTAGCATCCTGTTCCAAAATCTTCCACCTAAACGGTCCACCGAACTATTCCCCCCCCCCCCTGAAAATCCAAGCCTTAACTACCAAAGCCCCTACACCAGCACTGAGTCCGCCACTCTTCTGATGACGAAACAGAGCTCACTGTTCAATACGTCGAGTCCACCATGCAAACCTATAGATCTCATTTATACCAGGAGCGTCATAGTCATTATGCCTTCTTGTGTGAAGACACAAAACCGGTTGTGCACCTTACCCTTCACCCACATACTTATGTGCAGGGATGGATCCAGCTTTGGCTCAATAATGTCAAGGGGGGAGGGGGGCTATGGCTTAGCTGGCATATATGCTACCTTTTTCTTCATGATTGTCCTGTTCTTTAAAAAAAACAACTTGGGGAGCAACCTTAGATTTGCCATTTAGATGTGTGGTCACATAGTACCATCCACTGTTTTATGAATCTTGTTGGCGTTTAAAAGTCAAGGTCAGGCTCACCAAATAAATGTTTTAAAATGATACATGTAACTCTGAGAATGGTTTTCTTATCCTGATAAAACCATGTCCTCATAATTATTCAGTCACTTATTACGCTTTAGAAAATGTTATTGAAGTAAGGATGTGTAAGTAAAATCACCAAAATAAAATTTTCAAAAAATATAGAAATTTAATATACCCAAATAAGTGGGAAAATATATTACACGGCAGGTATTAATGTTTCATGCAAATTAGGTAATTTAGGGTCAAACTTAACGATGGCATCCACTCACCTCTTGTTTGCTATGGTTCAAAGAATTAATCTAGCATGGATGCCAGCCATTACCAAAAAAATCCATGAAATGATTTTCTTGAGAACTTCCCATATTTGGCTAGCCTGCTATAAAGGGTTGTCCTGAGTTAAAGATAGGTTGGTACTGGATTTGGAGCCAAAAAGATAATTTTGGCAGGATAAGAAATACATGCCAATTAATTTAATTGTGTTTTTGGAATTGATATTTGAACAAATAAAGGCTGAGCTTGTATGTCACCTCCCCATCCCCAGTTGTACTATTGTGAACCAGTATATTAGCCAGCTTACATTCATCCTTAGAGGCTGAGGAATTTCAACAGCATTGAGAATTACAACTTTGTTATATTTTTTATATAAACTACATGTGCCCTACTCTATTGTTTTGCCAGCATTAAAGTTGCTTCGGTACTTTGATTAGCGATCTGAACAAATCACTGAGCTGTGGTGAAGATGTACATGTAGGATACACCATTTGAAGTGACAAACTTTGGGAAAAGCAAATGTAGTTTAGTTTATTGTTGCAGTGCAATTACTATGTTGAAATTGTTTTACACAAAGATCTATTTACAAAAAAGGGTATATTTGAATTTCATGGTGACACCATAGTCTTAGTGTCCTGAATCATATTGCACAAGGATTTCTAGGGAATCATTAAGAATAGCCTTTTGAAAATGTTGGGAAGGCATTGTAATGATTGGATTGTACAATTATCACTGTACATGAAATTGGAGCATTTTTTTTAAATTACCTTTGTAGGTGACCTTGCTGTTTGAAACAGAGAACTTAGCTGTTGCTTCTCCAGCTACTGTGAGCCGCTGTGGTATGGTGTACATGGACTATGCTGACACTGGATGGCAGCCATATGTCACATCCTGGTTGCAGAAACGGCCAGACAAGGTATGGCTACTTTGAATGTCAATGTGTAACCCATGCAGACTGAAGTCAGTTCAGATTGTACCTTGTGATTTTAACTGCAGTCCTAAAAAAATCATGGTGAGTAGGAAACATTTTGATCAACTTTCCTGGGAATGCATGCACACTACATGTGATCAAATAGATGTTTATAAGAATGTCTTATGATGAAACAAACATTGAAACAATGTCTTCACAAGTGTGTGTTCTCTGGAAGTTCCCCTCCTATAAAGACATTGTTCCAAAATCCATATCATGGTCTTCAGCATTGAACTCATTGTCTGCAGGTAAAAAGGTTGTGGGTTTGAGCCCAGCCTAGGGTTATGGTGCATGTGCCCTTAGGCAATGCACTTTGTCACTCATTCCTAGAAGGCCCTTCTTCTGTAGCAAGTCCACATTCACAGTCTTTCAATTCTATTAAGTTATTTTTCAAGGGACCTGGGAATAGTGCCCAGAGCCCCCACAACAACCGGAATTACCTTGACCATTGGCTTTCCCAACTTCTGAAGTTCCTTCGCCAAGTCCTGATACTTTTCCTTTCTTTATTTACAACCCTGGTGTCACCAGGCACTGCCACATCTTCAATGTGGCTCATCTTAGTATTCTTATCCAGGACAACAACATCCGGTATTCTATGTTCTACAACATGATAAGTCTTGATTCTGTTGAAGTCCTACAGAGCCTTCACCTCATCTGTCTCCAGAACCTTCTCTGGAATGTGTTCCCACCACTTGTCTGTAACCTTCTTTCCACGCTTCCTAAAAATATCCCAGTGAATCACCCTGGCTACATGTACCTTGTCGTGCTTCCCCTTGTAATCTGACTTGGCCATCTTACTACCCTAACAAACCAAATGAAATACTGTCTCCTCTTTCTCCCCACACATCCTACACATTGGAGATACATTCACTCCCTCTATCCTTGCCTTCCTTTCTGATTATTACATTCACTGAGATAATGTAGGAAGCATGTTTGACGAACATTTTAACAGAATTTTATTTGTATGTGTATTTGGATGCATTTTTTTTAGCATCGTTTTAAAATCCCTACATATTCAGGCAAGTTAAGTTTGCATTTAAAGTCTCGTTCTCCATGCTCTTCAGTGCTTCTTTTTTTCCCCATACATTTTTCGTTGCTGTGAATCTGAGAGGAATGATGAGTGTGCTCTCAATTGCCGTATGTTTACTTTGACCTCAATTTGCATGTTGACCCCAAGTGGGCGTGGTATTCCTTGGTGAAGCAATTTTGGCACATTTTTGATAATCAACGTTATGTTTTCCATAATAGAAATACGTTTTGGAGTGTTTTCATAGAGATAATGTTGTAACATTTAACTATTGAAATTCTGAAAGAAACAAATTTGCCAAAAAGCAAAACAAAACAACTTTTTTTACCTGCTAACATGACTTCAGAGGACAGCGATTGCGGAGTATTTATATACGACCATGGAGCAATTGCATTCAACGAAGCCTCTCCATAAAACCCTTGCATTTCTTGCATTTTGTGTCTTTTCATACTCCTTTAGGCCTTTTATCACAAAAACGTGACACACAGACATCAGACAGACAGACATGAGACAGACAGACAGTGTTGGATCTTTTAATATAGGATGTCTTATTCCAAAGTGAATAACTTTAATAACTTGTATTTCTAGAAAAATAGTAATTTAGAAAAGAAATCTTAAGATGAAACTGACGAATACTGACAGCATGTAGAAAGCAACTTTAAATAGCAGAACACACACATTCATTTTTTTGGGGGGAAAATAAATCGCCTTTTTTTCCCTTTTCAAAACAGCATTCCCAAGAAATTCTTCAGAGGCTGTTTGATAAGTATCTGATCAAAATACAGGACTTCAAGCAGCATAACTGCAATGAACTGGTACCCATCTCTGAACTCAATGGAGTCATGTCTCTCTGCAAACTCTTCAGTGCATTAGCTACTGAAGAAAATGGGGTAAGTTATTGTGGGAAATTTGAGATCAATCAGTGTAAATTCAGATGCTTGTTTTAGCAGAGCTGCCAACTCTCCCAGATTTTGCGGAAGACTCCCTGAAAATCGGTCGATCTTCCGACTCCCGGCACATCTAAAAAATCTCCCGAATTGTCAATTTTTGAGTACAATTTTTTTACTTACTTGTATTTTTTAATTGCCACAGTGTGACTTTTAATAAAAGTCAGCATAAAAATAATTTGTCTTTAATGTCTCCACTTTTCTTAAACTGAAACTTACGTGCATAACATGTCAATATAGGCCACCATGTAACGTACATGCGATGTATGCACGAACGTACACACATTGGAAGAACTAGACTCCTTACATGTCTAATCCAGTTCTATGCTCTTCTCAGCGTGGGGGAACGGACGATCAGTAATGCACATTTGAAATGTTGATAGTTTTATGTTGTGGGGTGGTGATGATTCTTTTGGGCGTACAGTGGTTCTTTATAAGTCTATACAAGTGGTAAACTGCAACAGTATGTACTTTCGAAGGTTTAAAACGTTGACCAGTGAATAGTCTGTCACCAGCGAATTGTTGCAGACATCGCACATTCGCACTTGTCAGATAGATACCAGACGGTTGTCACATGCACACTGCGGGATCGGTGTAGTGTGAATATTCAACCATGGGGAAATGTGGACTCAGTGGAAGTATTGCGGATGCGATACGATAATTGGGGGAGCGACTGGTCACATGGAAGGGATCAACCTATAGGGAAAAGGAGTCGGATTTTTATAGGAGTTGGTTTTTCATGAGTCATCGGAACGCGGTTGTTTTTGTACACATGTCGCAGTAGACTCGTGTGATGAAAAATGGTGACGCAAAACCCGATGAAAGTGAAGAAGTATCTTCAGAAATACAGGGAGGAGTATAACAAAGAATGGCCGTGCTTATTCGGAAATCAAAGAAGGACGAATGTTGCGCATTTTGCTTTGTATGCAGTAGCGATATATCAGTAAAGAGTGGTGGTCGCAACGATGTCTTGCAACACTTTTTTTTTTGAAATTATTTTGAGGGGCTACAGCCCAGCCCAGCCCCCCCCCCCACCCCCGTAGAATTGCCACTGCCCCCCATGTGAAAAAGAATCCTAGGAAGAACCACTAGTTTGTACTTATAATCTTGACAGCTACTGACCCAAACAGTCAGAGGAATGTGGCCAGGAAATGCCTCAGATTGCAGTACCATATAGAATGCAAAATTTGTTGAAGAATGTAGTTGGTGCAGAGTGCATTAAATGTACCAGATTGCTGTTGAAAAGTGCATGGAATCCATTCCATTGAGGTTTGTAAAAGCCTAAATAATTTCATTTGCCCAAATATATTTTATGATTTTCAGGTGAACACATCAGATAAGGAGAACTATGAGCGCATGATAGAGCTGTGGTTTCTATTCTGTCTGATTTGGTCAGTCTGCTCAGCTGTGGATGAAGATGGACGCAAAAAGCTTGACAACTACATCCGTGAGATTGAAGGTACCTTCCCAAATAAGGACACTGTGTATGAGTACTATGTGGATTCCAAGAACAAGAACTGGGCTCACTGGGAAGACAAACTCCGGAGTGGCTGGAGATATCCCACAAAGTAAGTAACAACCTGCTTTGAAATGTACAAATACAACATGTCTTGTGTTATTTATTGCTAAAAGGATCAACTGGAGCCAATTTAAAAGAGCTACTCGGCAAAACAATTCAAACAGCATACCATTTTGAGATGTTGGCTGGTGTTCAGCAAATTCAACCAGATGTGAGATTCAATCCAGAAGTTACCTCATTACTGTAAAATGGTTCGTTTTCTCCCCAGTGCTCCATTCTACAAGATAATGGTACCCACTGTGGACACCGTGCGCTACAACTTCTTGGTGGGTTCCTTGATTGGCTCAGTTCAACCTGTACTTCTTGTTGGTCCAGTAGGCACTGGTAAAACATCCATTGCACAGAGTGTTTGCAGCAAGCTCGACACGGCCAAGTACAGTGTGTTGACAATCAACATGTCTGCACAGACTTCATCAAACAATGTGCAGGAGATAATAGAGAGTCGGGTTGAGAAAAGAACCAAAGGTATGGGCTGCGTTTACAAGGTGATCATTCATGAGTTGATAGCCCGCAAAGCAGACGTCTGCCCGAGAAGCAGGCAGTCACCTGTAAAACAGCTGTTCAAACAAAAAGTTTCAGGAAGTTTTACAAATTTTGTTCATGTTAGTCTAAGATCTCCTTTCCTTCTCTTGAAGAAAGAGAAAGAAAGAAAGATTTGTATACGCCGGCCATCTTGGCTTAACGTTATGTACTGTAGAATGCTTCGTTCCATCGAGTTGTTTTCCTGTGTTAGTCAGTGGTAGTGTAAGTTTGAAATATGTCTACCAAACAATCTAAAATACAGCCGAAGCCATGGCAGAGATTTTTTGAAGAATTACAGTAATGAATGGCCGTGTCTAACGTGCAGCAAATGTTCAGATTATTTCAGGTTTTTTACGCTGTGCAAGTGCAACGTGAATTTTTATGTGAGTCTCGCTCTTGCCCTTAAGTATTGTTATGTGGTTGGGTTAGCATTAAAAAAGAATAGAATGAAATGGGTAGCACTCTGTGGGAATTACTTAGTACTATTGTGACAGGATTCGACTATACTTTTTGTTTAAATGGTGACGCGCCGAGCAGTAAATACTGGCTCAATGAAAAGTACTATTTCTGAAATCTGAATGTTGGGAGCTCTGTGTATGTAGCAGAAAAGCGTTTTTGTTTCCATGTGAATATCGAGTATCCAATATCCATCTAATAACTGTCATCACTGAACAAGTAATCTAAGGCCAACACCCACCGCACCCCCTTGTTTCCACTTAATGTAGTGTTTTCTAAACAACTATTCTGTGCCAGTTTGTGTAGTCTAACTTTGCCAACCCATAATAAACATAAGTTTTTATTTATGCCATCTATATGTAAGGGGTGTATGTTCCCATCGGAGGTAAGAAATTGCTGACCCTGATGGACGACTTCAATATGCCTGCAAAGGACACATTTGGATCCCAACCTCCACTTGAACTCGTGAAACTATGGATGGATTACGGCTTCTGGTATGATCGCCTGAAGCAAACTTCCAAATACATCAAGGTAAAAACAAAAACGAAAGCAAAAGCAGCGGTTTGAGTGTGTTTTTTTTTTTTTTTGAGGGGGGAGGGGAAATAATTGTTTGCCCATAACTTCTGAAATTCTTGTTCTGGTTCAGGTTTCATAAATTTTTGTCAGAACAATTGCAAATTGAAACGTTAAAGATTGGTTAGATTTAGATTGTTATTTATCTACTCCAACTAGACGACTGGGAATATACATTTTCTCCTTTTTTGTGTGTGTCAGCTAACTTGAACCATAGGCCCTTTGCATGATCATATCAGGACCCATGATGTGCCAGAAAACAGCCTGTCAATGCCACACTGCCACTGCTTTCCAGCGTGAATAATTAATAGAAATTTAAAATTAGTTTGATTGAAAATGCATTCATGTTGTCTACTTTGTCTTACCCAAAATGCTTCTCAACAACCTTTGGATGCCAAAACCGCTTATAAAAAAAATGTAGGCAGTACTGGTGGACTTGTTCTCGCCATAATAAAGATGAGAGCCAGAATATTAATGTCGTTTGAAATTGTTTGAAACATGGTTTGAACTTTTTTAAACTGAAGACTTCCCAAAAAATCTTCTTCTTTTTAATTGGCTTCGCAATATTTGCGAAAAAGTCTTCTTTTTGTTCTGATTTTCTTTCTTCTTCTTCTTCTTCATAAAATGTAAGAGTTCCCTCTAGCGGCAGGTTGAAAAATATTGAATAATCAGTTTATGCGTATGGCGAAGTTAGCTGAATCATTTTATAATTGATGTATATAATCAGCTTCATGCTAAAAACAAGTTGAGGGAAGAAAGATTGATGACATCACTAGACTGGAATTTAAACCTTAAAAAGTTGATGCAAATCAAACGTGCAAGATATAATCCAGATTTTTGCTTCAAATAGCACAGTTAACATACATTGTAGCTCTCAAGCTTTCAGGTAATGACGTCAAGTATCAGATTACAAGCAACCAAAGATTTCTAGATTTTATCTTTGAAAATCAATATAAAATCAACTGCAAGAGATCTGATTTTATGAGAATTGATAGAATAATCCATGGTCTTCGTTTTTTATCATGAACAAAATACCATAAATTCATTTGAAAAGTCATACTGCGAAAAAGACTTGTATTCTGTTCATTGAACAGACGTAGTACTAGTTGTCTTTTTTTCCTGTTTTGGTATTTTCTTTCAAGTATTAAATCCTCAAATTGAAATATTTTTAGTAGGTGCCCTTGCGTTTTTGATTGTCGTGACTCATAATTTAATAGCTAAATACTGAAATATTTCATTTTATCCCTCATTACCTAGGACAGGAGTAATAACAATTGTTCATTAATGACTTCCAAAGAGCATACTTCTTTGCACTGGTTTGCAATGTGTTTATGTTGACAGGATATGCAACTTCTCGCAGCAATGGGGCCACCAGGAGGTGGTCGAATGGTCATCTCAACTCGGTTACAGAGTAGATTTAATCTCATCAACATGACCTTCCCAAGTGTAAGTTTTATAAAAGTAAATTTGATATTTAGTCACATGGGTAGCTGTTCATACCACAATACAGGGATGTCTATAATGTTTGATATCACTGACTAACATTAAATCGTAGTTTGTGACAGTTTATTTCACCTTGGATAAAGATTCAGGTAACTGAAAAGAAAACATTGGCATGGCTCCACATTAGTAGGGGTCGTGCACTTTGTACAAGTCATGTACAAAGTGTACACAAAGCATGCATAGATTCAAACTGGCCACAGTGCAAATTGTTTGACTGACAGCCATCTGTTTTGTCCATAATTTCATTCAGAGACAATCTTGGAATCAAAATAAACTGAAAATGTCAAATGAAAGCATATGTGTAACACCAGTTTTGTAAATATTTAGTTCTGATTGATGGGAGGGTCCCCATGATTTTTGGGTGTGACACCCTCAAAAAAACAAAAAAGGTGATAATTTTTTTAGAATAACTAAAGTTATGAACTTTTCAATGAGACATGAAATGAAAAAAATTGGTCCACGCTAACTTATCGATTTTTTTACCCCTCAGCCGAGAGGCTCAAGGGGTATTGTCATCGCCTAGGGCGTCCGTCCGTCCGGACGTTCGGACGGCCCAAAAAAAAAGTCTCCGGTTTCTGGTATGGAGCTTGCCCAAAAAGTGGTGCGGCGACACAGGTTTTTTTTTTTTTTACCTGTCTTTTTTGCTTCAAATGTCGGCTGATGACTGCAAATGGTGCCCGACTAAACTTAGTGCAAATAATTATATGGGAGTCCGGAGAGGCCACATAAAGCTTATTCTCAATCATAACCCCATCTAAAAACACGTTAAAATTGTGCAGCAGCAGGATTCCAGTCAAACCAGTGAGTTTGGCTGTTTTTAGACATCATCTTTTATTGAAATTTTTTTTTTCATTTTGCCGACGCGCGCGCATACCAGAAACTGGAGACTTTTTTTTTGGCCTTAAAGGTAAATGGTTTCCGGATGATAACTTGAGTTAGAAATGAGATTTTGCTGTCTAACTCTGGTAGGGGGTTGCCCTTGGGAGTAGGCAAGTTGGGATTGGTTTTGGGGTCAAAAGGTCAAAGGTCAAGGTCACCGTGGTGCGTTAAAGGTAAATGGTTTCCGGATGATAACTTGACTTGGAAATGAGATTTTGGTGCCTGACTTAGGTAGGGGGTTGCCCCTGGGTACAGGCAAGTTGGGATTGGTTTTGGGGTCAAAAGGTCAAAGGTCAAGGTCACCGTGGTGAGTTAAAGGTAAATGGTTTCTGGATGATAACTTGAGTTAGAAATTAAATTTTGGTGTCTAACTTTGGTAGGGGGTTTCCTATTGGTACAGGCATGGTTCTGGGGTCAAAGGTCAAAGTCACCATGATGAGTTAAAGGTTAATGGTTTCCGGATGATAACTTGACTCTGGCTGACGGGTTTCAACAGCAACGCTGTTATTTTTTAATTCAGGGTGGAATTTCATTTCAGTTTGAAAATTATTCCAGAGGGATGCTCCAAATTCAGCTGAGACTTACAATGTAACTCCAGTCGGACTGATATCTACAACACACACTGTCACTGCAATCCAGCCATGAATTCCATCATCAATGTCATGTTCAAAGTGCAACAATTGCCATATTAACATTTCAACTTAAAAGAGAAGGCATTTTATTGTATTTAATGAAACTGTGGAATCTCCATATTTAAACTATCACATTTAAACTATTATATTTTACTTGTCTTTGTCACTATTTTGTTAGCCAGTGTCGAAAAAGAATGTTTTAAAAGAATGCAGTTATACTTTTAATAACCTTAACACTTTTCTGTGCTTACCTCAGGACTCCCAAATCAAGCGCATTTTTGGCACAATGATCAACCAGAAGCTGCAGGACTTTGAGGAGGATGTTAAACCAATTGGTGATACCATGACTCAAGCCACACTGGAAATCTACCAAGCTGTTGTGCAGCGCTTCCTACCCACACCTGCCAAGATTCACTACCTGTTCAATCTGAGAGACATCTCCAAGGTATTCCAAGGCTTACTGAGAGCACATAGGGACTTCCATGACACCAAGGGAAGCATAACACGCTTGTGGATCCATGAATGCTTCAGGTATGCTATCTAAATGAAGGGAAAATTCAAGAATTGGGAAAAAAAAATATTTTAAATAAAGTCGACAAACACTGTGATTCCAACAAAACTAATTTGGTTGTGCTGCTGTATCGGATTCAAACAAGCTAGCCGACACTGGCAATTATTAAGTAAATAATTAGTTTTGCGAAACTATCCCTTGTTTTTGTTCTGATTTTTTCTTTTCTTCTTGGGTTTTCTATCCCAAATCCCATAGATTTTGTACGTATACTTTATGCCCACCACTTTGGGCATTGAACTTACTCATGTATAGACCCCATAGCAAAGTTGTGTTTCGATCGGAGTCGTCATGATGACGTGAGCATGTCATGTGACGTCATCATAAAGATGCATTTTTTTTAATGGCCTATATCTAGAGAACTACAAGGCCGATCAGGTGAAACTTTCTATAGATGTACATAGACAGGGATATGTTATAAGTGAAAATTGAAACGATTTTATCGTGTGATTTTATATAGAATTTTGAAGATTATCACCATATTTCACGAATTAACATGCTAAATTCAACATTATTTTTGTAATAGGTTTGTTAGGCAATAGATACATGCACAAAAATGTGACAAATATGTGCGCGCACATACCAGAAACTGGAGACTTTTTTTGGCCTTACGGAGCTCTTTATATGTATGAGGGAGAAAACACACATGATTGCTCGGGGATCATTACACATTACCACAAAAGTAGAGTAAAATCTGAATAGGAATAAAATTGCCAATATCTTTCAAACATTTAGCTTGAGCCAATGCAGAAACCACAATCTTTATATGACTGTTTTTTATTTGTTGTGACAGGGTTTTCTCAGACCGTTTAGTCAATGAGACAGACAGTGAGGCATTTGTAAACATCTTGAGTGAGAAGCTTGGCAATCTCTTTGAGCAGACCTTCCACAACATATGTCCCAACAAGCAGCCACCAATCTTCGGTATGTTACCGGTAGCATTTCCTCTTAAATGGTATCTCTTTAAAGCTTTGGGTGGATTGTCATTTGGTATAAAGTACTCAAATGTGTTTTCCTATGTCATGCATTGAAAATAGATTATTTGTTTTGTTTTGTTGGGTTGTTTGTTTCTTTTTGTTTGTTTCTTTTGGGTTTTTTGGCTTGGGGTCATATTGATGATTTTCATCAATCTCAGGCCTGCAAGTCTACCATTATTTTTGTGAGTGATTAATGACTACTTTATCAATTATTATTCTGATTATTCAAACTCATATTTTTTGTAATAATAATAATAATAATCATTCTTCAGCATGAGACTTACACTTAATAAATTCTTTTATGTTTAGGATAAAGATTAGACTCATACGTAATTCAGCATGCTAATAAAATAAAGCCATACGTAAATGGTGCATTTTGTTGTGGTCTCGACAGGTCTCAGGGGTAAAATCCGAGACTTTGGCATCCGAGACCAAGACCAGAGCTTTCGAGACCGAGACCAGCCCTCCCGAGACCGAGACTTTGATAGGACGAGACTACATTTGCATTATTCCTTATAGGCCGTAGGCTTTATTCACTAAATTTTACGTATACCACAGCGCCCTCTGGGCCAATACACAATACCCATGATGCCAAGCGGCATATCATCCTCTTTTCTTCTAGCGCCAATCAGGTGTAGTCGTACTCTATTGAAGCTTTCTCAATATACGATTTTTGCTAGCTCTAGAAGTGTTTATTCTCCTTTAAACTTACTGTTGGTTTACTATTGAGTTCTTGTTAGTTCCTTACAGCGTTCCTCAGAATTTCTGGTACATGTATTTAAATTCAGTGTTCAGAGTGAAAATTTATTTTTATTTTTCAACCAAGCAGTATTAAAATGATTTAATATGACAACTAATACTCATGTGAAGGGCAATTCCACGGTTTGATGGACATGGCTTGGAAACAAAAATTTTTTAACCCAGTTTTACATTTTTATTTACATTCAAGTATGTGAAATTAACAAAGAAAACCCTATTTTATCAAACGTTTTTGAGAAATCTTGTCGTAAAGTGAAAAATTATTTTACTACAAAGAACTTTAAAAAAATTTGAACCTTGGTAAAGTTTGAACCTTGATTGCTAATAATGCAACGAGAGATATTTCAATCATAACCTTATTACTAGCTTGTATGATGTCTTAATCTTTGAAATGTATGTCATTTCACAGCCGTCGTCCATTTTTAAATATAAAAAAGTAGCGTTTTATACCGAAAAGATATAAAAGTTTTTTCTCATCAACATTTTTAATGAATTAAATTTTGGTATTTAGGATTTTCCTCCTTCGCATGAACATTGGTGTTTTGTTGATACTAATACACACATTTTAGAATAAAAGGCAACTAAAGTAGGTAACGAGAGTAACTTTTGTAACGTGAGTAACCAAGTTTTTTATCCCAAGTCACCCAAACTATACCGAAACTGACTTTTGCTTGATAATATTGCATTTTATTGATAACTGTTTATCTTAAACCAAAGAAACTCAGGCATTAAGAACACTTTTTATGCTATTTATGGTGCAAATTGGTCCTTGAGACAGCTTTAATACATGTACATAGCATAATATCATATAAATTCAATCGAAGCCAACTAAAGTATTCTTATTACATTTTTATGTAATAAGGCAGACATCTTTACTTCCCTACATTGAAATTAAAATGATTATTTGGGGAAAAAGTACACTGGTATACCCTGGAACCCATTCTCCTTATCATGGTCTCTGACAGTGTGGCCTTTTCAACGGACCATTTTTGTGTGTTATAGTGGCATGCATAACCTTTTAACAGAGTCTGAACCTGAGAGGTTTGTATACTGCAGTATCTGTTCTGATGACTCAGCATCTTTAGTTAAAACACCCACTAAGTTACAGCTAAACTTAAGAGGAAACAACAAATTTCTTATTGGGATCAGGATGCTCTGTAATAGTATCGGTTTCAGAATAATGATGAAAACCTCTATCTCGGTAGTAGTACTTGCCATTTGTGATCCAAAATGCAAATTTACATGCAAGTCAGGGTTTTTAGTAGTTCTAATGCCTATTTGGTGGAAACAGACTAAGTATGATACCTTTGTCAAAAAAAATCATGGCATATAATTATTCTAAAATGGGTTGGACAAAATGTAACCGTAATGTGAGTAACCGTGTTTTTTGCGGGTTCCAAAAAATGTAAAGATTCTAGAAGATTAAATTTTCTTTTATTATTGTGCCCCTAGCATGGTCTTTTATCCATTTAAATGACATTTCCAAAGGTTGTTTGTATGAGGACACTTTTTGATGAAAGCATGTTGGCTTTTTATGCATGTCCAAAAATGTAACGTGAGTAACCGATTGTGTGTGTCTTGTGTATAACACATTTTTCTGGATATCATCTCAATTGCTTAGGTAGGTCTAGGTCTACTCTATCTACCATGGGGGTAATAGTTATTAAACTTTTTCAGTAAGGTAATCACAGCCCAACGAAACTCAAAAGTACATCAAAAACGGAACGTGAGTAACCGTGGAATTGCCATAATCATTTTAATAAAATTAGAATGTGAATATGATAAAACTTAAACTTGAAAAACACATTAAAATCCAAATGAATATTAAAGTAAAAATAAAATGGAAAATTAAAGTAATGATAAAAATAGACATCTACTTCAAATTATAAAAGTATTGTGGTTTCAGAAAACAACAAATTACGGTAACGACCATCAGAACAGAGAAAAAGAGATGAGCTAAATTGAAGTAATTTAATAACACAAAAGTAGCAGACTATAATGGCACAAATAACAAATAAAAGAAACAAATTTCAGCATCATCAATAAATGATTATTGATGATGTTAAAAAAGAGGAACAAGTCCGACAATTTGCTGGTGGGTACTGGGCAATGACTTTTATTAAAACACCCTGGCTTCAAAAAACCCCATTTAATCAGTGGATCCAGAATGTTTTAAAAGGAGACCTCAAGTCCCTTAGGAGTGTACTGAGATAATATGATATTGTAAACTGTTGTAACTTGGTTGTGCTATTGATTCTGAAACAGATTTTTGAGGTTTCATGTACATGTGTCTTTGATAACAAATATAACTTAAGTATTGTAATTTAGTAGTTGATGGGTAAGATTATTGTTTGTCATATGGTATAGTATTCAGTGTACTTGTGCCCTTGTTTATTATGTGAATAATATTTACTTTCCCAACAGGCGACTTTATCTCACAGGCTGAAGTGCCCATCTATGAGGATCTGCAAGATTTCTCAACCCTAAAGAGGTTCATGGAGGATGCTTTGGAGGACTACAACAGTAGTCCAGGTGTCATTGCAATGGATCTTGTCCTTTTCAGAGATGCAATTGAGCATGGTAAGAAACATGTATAATGATTCATTCATAAATACCTAAGACAGTTTACGCATTCCTATTGGTCGAGAGCCCGTCACATGGCCGGTCTTAAACGGATGATAAAGACATGGCTAGCTGGTCTTAAACACTTCTCCAGTGTCACATGAAATTTGGACTTCCGTAAAACATGAAGTAAACTAATTGAACAAAATGGTTGGCAACGTCCAGTTTTTGACATGTTTTGATTTTTGGACCGAAAGGATTTTTTTTGACCGAAAAGGTATTTATGAATGTGGGAATAAATATGTGTTCGGTCGGTATTAAACACTCTGTTTAAGACCATTGGGAGTCTTGATGGGTAAAACTTATCCTCAGCTTCGCCTCGGGTAATTATCACCCATCCAGACTCCCATCGGTCTTAAACAGAGTGTTATAATACCTCCCAAACAAACACTTATTCCCTTATTAAAATACTATTGAATTTATTAAAGCCATTATGTTGGAATGTTTTAAAGCATATCTAAACAAACCGTAGCAGCAATATTTTGTTCCCCAAATCTACAGCATCTGTGTTTTAACGGTATAGTCCATCATTTGTAAGTTGTGCATTTTGTTCGTTTGAAGCAATAAAAGTGCTCAAGATCTAAAGAAGGGTGCTGAACAACTAACCTGATGAAGTTTCAGCTCAGCTGTATATTTAGATAAAAACAACATTCTAGGATCTCGATTCAAATCAAAAGTCGCTGAATCATGTTTTGAATTGGGCCTGAATTCAGCGTCCGAGACACGTTCTCACTGAGCCGATTGCAGCTATACGCGATGTCGCGCACTGAAGTGACGAATTGTAGCAACCGCGCGCGTGTGCGTCGTGCCAATGCTTGCGCGTGCTTCGCCAAATAACAAAAACAAACTACTAATCTGAATTTCCTACGGTGCTTCTTAAGATGCACCATTGGAAAGGCCTTCTTTCGTTGATTTCTTCAAAATGACAGCTTGCCAGAAAGAATAATTTCACAGGGAGTTTAGTTTCCTTACTATCTTTCAACCAAGTATGTTTTTCAACAATAAATACGCCAGTTACTTTTTGGATAGCTGCAAATGATGGACTCTGGCTTTAATATTCTTAACATATATGGCAACAAAATTGTCTTACACACGTATGTTTTAAACCAGAAGGGAGCTTTCTGGGGTTCAATTGCATATACAGTCGGCTCCCGTTATAGCGAAAACGGCTAGAACGAAATTCCGGTTATTACAAACAAATACCTTCGGTCCCGGCAAAATTGTGCACATGTTTATGGGGAAAATTTCGCTTAAGACAAAAACGGACAGTACGAAATTCCTGTTACAGCGAAAGGTTTTGGCGACCCGGTTGCGTAAAAATGCATTGTTAGCGACCCATTTATAACGAAAGGTAATCCTGGCTCACGGCTTTTTTGTTCAATTTGAAAGCAGTATTAGTCATCAGTAGGTGTCTCTTGTGTGAGTAGTTTCATGTTGCCGACGTAGATGCATTCAGATGGAGGTGCTAATCGGTTTGCCGGCGCACGGTCATTAATCTCGCGCTGCGGTTAGGCCTGGTCATCATAGTGTTGCAATGACGTGTGCCAGTCACCCGCACCACTTGCACATCGCCATTGTGACATTAATCCAAGACGTATTTCGACCTTTGTGAATGGGCTTTCCCAATTTGTACCTAAAATTGAGAGCTGGTGCAGTTGAAGAAGAACCAGAAGACGAGGAGGAGCCGCCAACGGAGGAACAACGGCCAAGAAATGTCACCGACTGCCTGAGCATAATGCACCAGGTTCGGGACTATCTCTGCAGCCAGCCTGACATGGACGCCGATGTCTATGATCACGCTGCTGCAATCCTGCAGTACCTCTCCAGTAGGCAGCAAGACAAGATGTCACAGCGGAAGATAACGGACTTCTTCAAGGTGTAACATCAAACCAAATGATAAATCAAACCAAATGGCTCTTTTCAGAGATTTGAATCCCGACTAAAAATAATGAACCCCCACCTTATTACCCGGAGCAAATTAAAATAATCCCCTCCCCCAAATAGAACCCCTTATAAAAATTGGAAATTAAATAAAACATCATTTACCCCTTCTCCCAACCCGGCACAAATTTTATTTTAAAAAAAATGTAAGGTTAAACAAAAATTACAAAGCACCCCATTACAAATCCAAAATAAAATAAACAATCTTAACGTAATTTCATTCAAAGTTATTCACAACCCCTCCGTAAATTGCTCCCCCCTCCCCAAAAAAATGATTTATAATCAAAACTTTGCCAAAATTGTCCAAACTTATTCATTTGAGCACCAGCACAAATACGTTAAGCTATTTTGTAACTTTAAAAAGGAACCTGCTGGGATGATAAGAAACTGATCACCATCAACGCTGGACATTATGCATACATATGCAAAGTTATGGGTAAATGAGCTGGTACACGCCAATGAGCTCGTCCGCTTGCATGACGTTAAATCGTCAGATGTTAATATCCAATCACAATGGAAGATTATGACATCATCACTCATTAGGACACCGACTCATGAGGGCGCTCTACCAATTTGTAAAATCTACTCAGATCACGGACGGACCGGAAAATCTGGAACGTAAATGACAAAGGTCTCTCGGCCATGCGCTTGAAAACGCTTATCGCGTTGTCACATTGAAATCTGCAAGACGAAAGGACAAAACAATTTAAATGTCTCTCCATGACACAATTTGTGCTGGAGAGATTACTTACTTTGAACATCAAAGGGATCCAGGTCATCCGCCGTTGACTTCTTCCTCATCGTTTTTCAAGCAATAAAACGTCAGATTATTTTATTTTCGTTTCGTACATTTAACTCTCTTTTTTCTTAATACTTTAGACAATGATATATTTTAAACATTATTTTTTATTTGACAAATCACATCATAGAGAGCATGTTCTTAATTGTTTTAAAACATAAAAAAGTCATTGGGTACATTACGTACATTCACAAGCGTGCGCAATAGGGCCAATTCAAGGTGAACAATGGACGGGAAACATTGTATCGGATATTACGAAATTCGGATACAACGAACATTTTGACCGGTCCCGTGGATTTCGCTATAACGTGAGCCGACTGTACATCTGTGTAGGTCGTTTTAACAAAAAACATGATGTCATCATTATCTCAATTTGTAATGAATTTATAATGCTTTACAAAATTTGGCATCACTGGTCGTAGTCATTCAGCAGAACAGTGTGTGCATGCACATTTTTTTACGAACGGCGAAGCAGTTGCGAGCATGTGTAATACCAATTTCCGCCCGTCCGTCCTTCGTTACGTCCGTTCGTTCTTGCCATACCCTATTTGTGCGGTGATATTCCTTTCAGGACACATCACCCTACTATTTTAACAATAGAAAAAATCACCCCAGAAGAGGATCTTTAGAAAAAGGGATAAAAGGAACACAATGCTATCACCCCACAATTCCGTCTGGCTGGGATTTCCGTCCGTCTGTCCGTCCGCATTCAGATTAAAATGTTGAAGTTTTTGGTTCTAGCTAATTTGGTAAAAAAAAAAAGGGAAATGCAGTTTACATGTATCATCTCTGTAAGTTTTAACTAGGTTCATTTCATTGCAGTAAATTTCATGATTTTATTGACAAATTTTAAATCAAGAAAATGTTAAAGTTTTTAATTGTAACATGTACATGTACCGGGGTATACACCAGTATAACATGTACTTTTATGCATTAATTTACAATGTACTACATAGTATGTGTGTAATTTGGGCGAGTATTCATGTGTATAGGCATGTGCTTCTGGTTTGATCTTTTAGTTTTATGGGTTGGAGTAGGGGTGGGGTAGGGATGTGCAGGGGAGGGTGGGGGTGGAGTGGGTGGGGGATAGGGGTTGGAGTAACGGGTGGGTTGGGATGGGTAGGGGGATGGGGTAGGTGGGTGTAGGGGTTGGGTTAGGGGAGGGGTGGGATATAGGGATTGGAGTAGGGGGTGGGGTGGGATGTATGGGTGGTATGGGTAGAGAATGAGGTGGGTGGTGGTAGGGGGTTAATTGGGGGAGGGGAGGGTAGGGGAGGGAGGAGATAGGGATTGGAGTTAGGGTGGGGTTGGGATGTGTAGGTGGTAGGGTGGGGACGGGTAGGGGAGGATGGGGTGGGTGTGGGTAGGGGTGGGGGGTGGGGTGGGGATGGGGTAAGGTTTGGGAGGGGGTGATGGTGGTGTGTCTACATGTATAACCATTCTTGTTCTTCAATTGTGGGGATACTCCATAGGTAACATGGGGACCAAAGACGCTGGGGGGGGGGGGGCTGCAAAAAGCCCCCACAACTAGGTTCTGATTACCAACAATGGAAAACTTTCCAATAAAGCGGTGACTGCTAAGCCATGTACACATGTATTTATAAGGACATTTGTTGACTTTTTGGTTGGCATTTAAAAACTGACCGCTACACCTTGGCACATCATCCTGAATCCTGATCCCCTTCCATCATGCCCATCCCCAACCCTACCTTCAGTCTCCCTTCCCGCCTTCGACAACGAGCCATGGCGGCTTCGCCATTCTAGTTTGTAGAAGTTTTCGACTGGGAAAGCAACAATCTCCCACAAAACAAAAATGCTGTGTACCAGTACAAAGGTGTGGAGTATCAATTATGCAAGAGATGTCATGGAAGACTCCGAAAAGAATTATAATTTGTAAAGTTGTAAGAATGTAAGAACTAAAATTTGTGAGGTCAAATTGGCTATACAAGTTGTTTTTTCAAAAGTGAAAAACAAAAGTGACTGCATAGCAATTTTTCCATCCCGCCTAAACTTTCTACCTCTAAGATGTAAAGAACCAACCCTACATGTACTTCTCATTGGCCCATAGCCAGGCCTTGCCAAGTGTCACAGATCAAGATCCCTTATTGGCTGGTTGCCCCTCCAAGCCTTCTCAGCAATTGGTTAAAATTTGTGGCTGTCCATTGGCTATTCTCCGGTTCACAGGATCCCACTGTGGGTTTTCATGCACAAAGTTCTCCATAAGAAAGTACAGTGTGTAATGCATTCACAGCGAGATGTTGCATGCAGTTAGTCGCCCTTTTGCACAACACATATAAAATAATAAACAGGAGAAGATTAATTGCAAATTTTGCTGCTTATAAATAATTTGATCATTTAGTGATAAAATTGATTGTTTTGATTGGCCCATTATTAATCATTGAAAATTCAACCACATTTGTTCAAATATATTGGGCCAGTTAATTGGCTGTTTCAGCAAACTTGCCGAAACAGCCTTTGTTTTTGTTAAGATTTTTCGCTGTTTTCAGCATCCGGCCAAAACAGCCTTTGTTTTTGTTAAGATTTGTTTAAATTTTTATTTTATTCAGACTCCTGTCCATAGCATTTGTACACGTTTTCATCATGAAAGGCGCTTTGGGCACTAAAATCAATCCGATTGCCTTTATACTCGGCACACACTTAGACCAGTATCTGAAGATGTGTGCCGAACATTGACATCATCACGTGCCTCGTGACGTCACATGTAATGTGTATATTTTGAAGGCCTATATCTGCAGAACTACAAGGCCTATTGGGTTGAAAGTTGGTATGTACCTAGACCGGGATTTGTTATAGATGAAAATAAGTGACGTGACGTTGACATCATGATAACATCATCATGTGTCATGTGACATCACATTGAAGATGCATAATTCAAAGCCCTATGAGAATATAATCACGTATTATATGACACCATCTTAAATTGTACACATCCAATTATGTACAGAACTACGCATCCTTCCTAGATGGTACTTGAACTTGTAACTGTACATGCCAGATATCACCAAAACAATTGCCGAAACAGCCCTGTGTTTGTCTACAAACTTAAGTCTAGTTTGATTGAGTTTCTTTTGTTTTTGCCTATGTAATACCAATTTCCGTCCGTCTGTCCGTCGTACCGCCCTTCCGTCGTACCGTCCGGCCGTCCGCGTTCAGATAAAAATGTTGAAGTTTTTGGTTCTAGCTAACTTGGGAAAAAAAATTAAATGCAGTTTACATGTATCATCTTATATAACATATACAACTTCAGTTAGGGCCCTGTCACACTTCTGCGTATCCTAATTCCTTATGAGTTGCGCATTGACTTTTTTCATACGCAGTCGTATGCACAATATGCACTTCATATGCATCTCTATCGTTTTATGTAAGCTTTATGTACGCAGGCATACGCATGGTACGGCCCAGTACGCTGGATAGTTTTGGGCATGCACAAAACGACGCTGCGTACGCTGTTACGCAGGTCATAAGTTATAAATACGCAGCGCATCGGTCCCGCATCGGTCGAGCGCGGTACGAGTACGCTATGTGTTCGTGAGGGATAAGCCGTTCATACACGGCAATACGCTGACCTCCTATATTGGACGTATACATAGCGACGTATTGCACGAATTAGTACCGCTCGTCCTGCAAGCGGGCAGCGCATTGTACTTATTCGTAACTTATGAGAAACGCACAGATGGCGAACTTGCGCACTGCATACGCAACTCATACGCATCTCATACGCAGTGGATGCGCTGAATTCGTTACTTGTTCGCTAGATGTGCGTCACACATATGTCAAAGTAATCAAAAAATTTCAACGTTTTTGATCGTACGGCTGCGTATTGAAAATTGTTGATAAGGAACTCATAAGGAATTGGGGGTGGGATGGGGGATGGGGTGGGGGATAGGGGTTGGAGTTGGGGGATGGGTAGGGGAGCTAGGGTGGGGTGGGGTGGGTTGGGTTGGGTGGGGGATAGGGGTTGGAATACTAGGTTTGGGTGGGGTGGGGATGTGTACAAATGTAGGGGTGGGTGGGGACAGGTAGGGGAGAAGGGTAGGGGGAGACGGGTAGGGGAGTGTTGGGGGGTCGGGAGGGGGAGGGAAACAGGGATTTTAGAAAGAGTTGGGGTGGGGATGTGTAGGGGTGGTTGGGGATGGGTAGGTGGGTGTAGGGGTTGGGTAAGGGGAGGGGGCAGTGTATAGGGACCGGAGTAGGGGTTGGGGTCGGGTGGGGATGTACGGGTCGGTATGGGTAGGGGAATGGGGTGGGCGGGATATAGGGATTTGAGTTAGGATGGGGATGTGTAGGGGTGGGTAAGGAGGGATAGGGGAGGATAGGGTAAGTAGGTGTAGGGGGTGTGGTAGGGAAGGGTAGGGGGAAGGAGATAAGGATTGGAGTTGGGGTGGGGTTGGGATGTGTAAGTGATTGGGTGGGGATGGGTAGGGGAGGATGGGATGGGTGTGGGTAGGGGGTTGTGGTGATGGTGCTGTGTCTACATGTACATGTATACCCATTCTTGTTCTGCATTTGTGGGGACTACACAAGAGTTCTCCCATGGTAATACAAGTATGGGGACCTGAAGACACTGTGGGGGCTGCAAAAAGGCTCCACAACTGGGTCCTAATTACCCTAGCAATGGAAAACTTCCCCATAACGCAGTGACGGCTAACCTATATACACATGTATTTATTAGGTCATCTGTTGACTTTTTATGTTGACATTTAAAAACTGACCCCTACACCCTGGCACTTCAACGAGAATCCTGATCCCCTTCCATCATGCCCATCCCCAACCCTACCATCAGCCTCCCTTCCCGCCTTCGACAGCGAGCCATGGCAGCTTCGCCATTCTAGTTTGCATGATACATACTATGTGTTTTTTTTTTGTTTTTTTTTAAAGTACATTATGCTGCACAGAGTCTTTTTTTTTAAAGAAAGAGTCATATTGTTGAGAATTATTAAGTGGAACTCTTGCAAATATGATGTAATTGATTGGGTCTCCCATTTGATTCGCAGTATCCTATCTTAAATTGACTTTGCAGTATCCCGTATCATTCGTGTGATTGGCCAGCCTCGAGGTAACATGTTACTTGTGGGTATTGGTGGCAGTGGACGCCAGTCATTAACACGCCTTGCTGCATCTATTTGTGAGTATGTGACATTCCAGATTGAAGTCACCCGTGTGTACAGGAAGGTGGAATTTAGAGATGGTAAGTAAAAATCTGTCTAGCAATAATTTGTTTTAAGCTGCCTCATTTAGCTGTTCATTTGTCAGCATTAATTGCTGTTAACAATGATAATAATAATAATAATAAAAAGAGGCATTTATATAGCGCTTTTCAACAGGGTATCAAGGCGCTTTACAATTATTATTACCCATATTCAATGGGCAAACACTCCTGAAACCTTCTCAACCTTCTTGGGAGCATACAGGTAGGCAGCCATTTCAGGGCTCTTGGTTGTAATCAACCTCTCACAGTAACCAACTCTGCCCTCACAGGTACCCATCTACTCCTGGGTGGAGAGAAGCAATGAGTGACAAAGTGCCTTGCTCAAGGGCACACGCACCATAACTCCGGGCAGGACTCGAACCCACAACATGCAAAATTATCAGCAGACCACAAATTCAATGCTCCAGACCACTAGGCCATGGCACTCCACACAATGATGTACTGGTATATGTGACTCTCCCGCACAGCACAGAACCAATCACCCATTTTTGAAAACAGGGATTTTCGGCTCATTAGAAGAACATCAAATAAGCTTTCCAGTGACGTACAAAATATGGAAAGAGGACAAAATCTCATAGATTTTATATTTTTAGTTCCCAGTTCTTGGACCTTGGAAAGTTAACAAAAATCATAACATTTGTCCTTAAAGTTTCTGGAATGAACTCCTACTGGTTTTGTGTAGTAGGGTCAGATATTAAGTTCATCATTTGGGGTAATTATTGTTCTGTTGACAACTCTTACTTTGCATAAGACACATTTTTAAGATTAATAAAAACATGTGAATGTGCGTGGCCAGAATGCTACACCACTTGTTAATCAAGATTGGACATTTCAAAGAAAGCATTTAGTTGCACATTTTCTTACTGTGTCAATTGATTCACCAGACCTGAAGCGCCTGTATTACATGGCGGGCGTAGAGAACAAGCCAACAGTCTTCTTGTTCAATGACACACAAGTAGTGGAGGAATCCTTCCTAGAAGATATCAACAACATCCTGAGCAGTGGAGAAGTACCTGCCATGTATAAACCAGAAGAGTTTGAAGAGGTACAGCATACAATGGTGAACTTGTAGAGGACAATAGGGTCCACGATTTGGAAATTGAAAATGTGGGCAAAACTGATGATGGCCGGTATTTCAATATTGTTAAAAAGTATAAACAGTGGGAGGACAATAGAAGAGAATTAAAGAAGGGACCAGTGGTCTTTTCCACAAGTGCATGTGTGTGTGGGTTTGCGTGCACAGGCACGTTTGCTTATGGTGTAAATCAAGGATTTTCTATTGTTCCTCTTCATTGATCTTTTGATCAGAAGGTTGTCCTCGATTTGACTCCTGTCCTCGATTAATACTCATGGATGTTTCACATGTGTATCTTCGATTTACACCATAAACAAACCCAGGTATACACATTCAAATCGTGGACCTTGATTAATAGTGGAGAGTAGGGTCCACTTTTGACAGAGGTCTTCCTAAAAGTTACAGTATAAGCAAAAGAGGGACGAAAAGTGGTTCTCGATTGAAGGCGTTTATAAAGATGGGGTGTGTGTCTCTGTCTGTCAGTTTTCAGGTGTAAGAATATTAAGTTGTTACAATGTTAAAAAGTGAAGTTGATACACATGTGTCACCACCTTAACGTTTAACAAGAGAGTTGGGAAGGACCACTGACATGGAGTCTTGAAAGAATTGGCGATGGCTCATGTGCATGCAAGGGATTTGTTACTGCCACTGGAACTTTCATATGTCCATTGATGGAAGGAACACTCAGTGCTTTTAATTTTGGTTATCGGCTGTTAAAGGTAGAGTAGACCAAATTTGCAGTAATCCAAAAAGTAACAGTCCAAATTATTGTAAAAAAGCTTACTTGGTTTAAAGGTAGTAATGACACTAAACTCCCTGTGAAATTATTCCATCTGGCATGCTGTCATTTTGAGGTCATTTCCAAAGATGTGCCAAGTGTCACATTTTTTTAAGTTTCCGTGAATCCGCCCCCCCCCCCCCATGCGTTCTAATTTGCAGTTTGGTTTGCAATTGGTTGAATCCATGAATGGGTGACAATCGGCTGAATGAGAATCATATGTCCTGAATGCAGATTTTGGGATTGTGTCACGAGAGGGTGCAACTCACAATGACTTGGCAACTTTGGATTTGAAGTCAAGATCCAAAATAAAATGATTGTATTCATCAGTGTTGTAGTCGAGGCCACAACCTCCGAGGCCAAGGCCGAGGCCACGACCTCCGAGGCCAAGGCCGAGGCCACAACCTCCAAGGCCGAGGCCACAACCTCCGAGGCCAAGGCCGAGGCCACAACCGCGAGGCCAAGGCCGAGGCCACCATCTCCGAGGCCAAGGCCAAAGCCGAGGCCAGCTATCAAAACACGTAATAAAATATAAATCACTAAAACAAGGCTAAGATTATGTTGGAGTTTTAAAATCTTTTTAGTTGAATTCACTGAGTTTTGGAGTGCCTGGCTTACAAATTTACAGCTTGCAATGGGTTTCTTCTTGTAGGGAGTCCAGCGAATATTATTTTTTAAAGAAAGAAATCTCAAGTTTTGTATCACTGAAAGCAAATTATACAACAAAATCAATGGCGTTTGAATCAGGCTCATAGGTGTTTGCCCTTTGGAGATACAACAATTTAAATGACCAAATTTTGAGTAAGATTTACATCATTTACTTTTAGCATGTTTTATAAATCTTATTTTCAAAACCTATCAAAATGCTTAATATCATAGGAATCCCCATTAAATAAACAACTTGATTTTTGAATCAGGTTTTTACCACTCATAACCAAAAAGTTACGACACCCCCCCCCCCCCCCCCGACCTTCGCACTGTCCAGGCGCGTGCCGAGCAAACACTGCAATGCGACCAGACAATGCCAGACGGCCCGCCATTACGCACGGGTAAAGCATAGTTCCAATCCCGCTCCACACAACGGGATAAGTGTCCATGCATTATCACTGTTAATACCGCGGTACCAGACAAAGTCTGGCAATGGCCAATCCCGCTCCAAACAACACGGCAACACGGAACATGCGTACATGATATCACTCAGCTCATCAAAATGACCATGAATTCTCGGATCATCCGATTTGAATCCAATGGCTTCGAAGAATTTGAAGATCATGGCAAGAGGTAGGGAGTCCAGAGGTTTTGGCCGTATATCTGTAACCACGCAAAATTAGTCAATTTCAAACCGTGCTTATACATGTAGTATCAACATGGCTCTAAAAATACATTGCATATGCGTTCGTTTCACGGAACCCACTGCGGCAGAATCTCGAGGGTTTGATACGGTAAAAAATTAAAATTAATTAGAATAGAAAACACATCAAAACAGGCGGCCTCGAGCCGGCCTCGACCAATTCGCCGAGGCCAGAAGGCTTCGAGGACAAGGCCGAGGCCTTGCACCTTCGAGGCCAAGGCCGAGGCCATGAAAATTGGCCTCGAGGCCATTGCCAAAGGTGTAAACAAATTCTGTGTGGAACGTCCAAGATTGATTCGTTTTCCATTCATGTACACCTTTGTTTACCATTCCTCAGCATTTCTCTTGAAAAAAAAAGCAAAAGGTATACCTTTTGTATTTTAGAATTCGGTAAGGGCTACGCAAAGAGGATTGGGTTTGGGGTTTTGGGAGTGGTGTAGTCTAGTCCACCACACGTCCATTCACAATCCGTTCATAAGGCCACTCACAAGTAACAGGATGAACAATGACGAAGGAATGTTTTTATTACAGTTCATTTGAATAGCTAGTAACTTGAATTGAGACTTGTGATGGACTTGCAAGGACTTTCAGGGACTTGTGATGGAATCCACTTCAAAACTGTCTTTTGGCAATTTTTTCAATGAATGGTTGCTCGCAAATGTTGACGCGACGCACATGCGTGCATGCTTTTTGTCAGTTCAGGGCGTGACATCGTGTAGCTGCAATCAGCTGTATGAGAACGTGTCCCAGGCACAATTCAAAACATGACTCGAATTAAAATCAAGATCCTAGAATATTGTTTTCTTGAAATATACAGCATTCACAGAGATAATAACCTTATCAGGTTAGTTGTTAACCCCCCCTTTCAATTTTGAGCACTGTTCTTGCTTCAAACAAAACAGCAGCACAAATGACAAATGATTTACTCTTCCTTTGAATAATAGTGTATAAGTTGATGTTTCCTAGGAATATTGGATTAAATTGTGTGTTCAAATGGCACAATAAATCTTCTTCTTTTTTACTTTTCATGTTCCATTAGGTTCGTAATGCCTTATCAGCTGATGCCAAGAAAGAGGGCATTCCTGAATCCCCAGACAGCATGTTTGCATACTTCATTGAGCGTGTACGCACCAATCTCCATGTTGTGCTTTGCATGAGTCCAGTTGGAGATCCATTCAGGTATGTAAATGCTTCTATTTTTACATTGCATTTAATAAACAAATCTAAATTTGAGGTTGCTGCTGGATTCATCATGTCGGTTTTAAGGCCGTTGTCCAGTCTGTTCTGGGTTGGCCTGCTTTCTCCCTATGGCTCTCCTCCACTTGGCCCTGTCCATCGCGTCCCTCGCATTGACTCCAAGCAGTCGCATGTCATCTGACACGGAGCTCTGCCAAGTCTTGCGCGGTCGGCCGACGGGTGTGGGCCCACCCACAATTACGTTGGTACACCTCTTGACCCAGTTGACATCCTCCTTTCTCTCCACATGACCAAACCACCTCAGCCTGTGCCTCCTCCTGGATTGACTATTCGAATACGGTAGTCAGTTGCTAAGAACGATGAAGATTTTTTGTGAATGAAATGACTCACGTGTTCTTGCGGAATTTTGTTAGGCAACTGCATGAGAGACATCGGAGTCTAATTTATATTCTGTTCTTAATATTTTTTTCCAGATAGTAGGGCATTGTTTATTGGTCTCGAGCTGGTCTCAGACAGAAATTCTGAGAACAGCAGGTCCGAGACCATATGTGTTCGAGACCAAGACCACGGCAAACTTGTCTCAAGACTGGTCTCGAAACCAAAGCCAGTCTCGACATGTGCAACACCGGTAGGCGTGGGGATATAGACGATCCTATTACCTGAGTAGAACCTGGGGTGGGTGTTGTACTTGATGAGGGTTAGGAACTTCTTGATTCGGTTGCGGCAGGTTTCTTTGAAAGCATGGGTACAAGAAGATAGTGTGAGCTGTTTGATCTTAAGGAAATCTACTTGGGACACACTGGAGTTAAGGTACTTACAAACAATAGAGATCTGCTTGTCTAAAGATGCGAGGGATGATCTGGTCATGGTGATATTGTGGCGGAGTAGAAAAAGGCTGGCTTTCTTTAGGATGTCTCTGGACTTGATGTTGTTGATGGCAGATGAGGTCTCAGAGCTGAAGGCCCGGAGAAATGGTGTTGGAATCTGTACATCTTTTCAGGAAGGCTGATGTATTTTGAGCGCTTGAAATTTTTTCCTCAAGCAAGACAAAGTAACCCAAAACATTGGTTTTTCCATTAGTGTTATCTGGCGCCCCATCCTCACTAGACAGTCACGTGGGTCTGCTTTACCCAAGGACAATTCAGTTCCCAGACTTTAATCAGCCTATGGGTCTCATAATACCCTTCCCCATGGCTCCCTTCCACCACACTGACACGCCTCACTGATCATCAGGCACCCCTTGCCCCAGTTGGCAATGTGCTCCACAAATTCATCTTTCAAACGCTTCACCACTCCCAGTTCTACTACGTAAGAACCCTTCATGGTTGGAATCCCTCAGTCTCCTTACAAGCTCACAAAAGAGATTTGTTTCATGGTGCAAGCGTAAACTTAATCTTGTTGCTATAATTATTTTTATATCTTCACCATTCAAACCCTAAAATCTTATTTGCTGTGTTAGTTCCTGTGGAACTCTGAAGAGCCTCTGAGATATTTCAAGTTTAAGAGTATAATTTATTCTGATATATTCACAGAAACCGGATTCGGATGTACCCAGCTTTTGTGAATTGCACAACGATTGACTGGTTCACAGAGTGGCCAAAAGATGCCCTAATTGAAGTTGCTGAGAAGTATCTAGAAACTATTGATGTGGGAGGCAATGAAGAGGTACATACTACATAATGCTTTTTCAAAATTATACAGTATTCAAACAAATTTATTAACGATTTAAGGCAGTACATGTATGTCTACTGGTAGGCATGATTATTGCCATTGCAACATGCTAGATCTGTATCCCAATTTCTTTCATGTAGGGAGTTAAGTCCATCATATTATGGTGTTAAATATTGTAGCAGGTAGTGAAGTTTTTGATCATTGAGTTAAGATAATACAACTTTTCAAACAAGCAGCGTAAAACTTACCTCAGCCATTAAGCTATAATCATCTTCTTAATGTGTAGAAGTAGAATTTAATGGGGTTAGATCAGGTTTTTTTTGAATGCGTAATCAGCCTTTATCTGCATGTTGTCCTTTCTTCATAATATGAATAGTTTTTTTAATCTTAAAATTAATGTGGCCTGACGTTGCGAACTTAGCAAGTTCTTCTTCAGAGGCTAAAACAGAAATGACAGAGATACATACATTAACATGGGGGTGCACACAAACATGCAGGGCTGAAAGAAGAAACACAAAAGGAGGATTAGGAGGGAAAGGTGTGGAAAGATGCAGGGGAGGGTGGATGAGAGAACAAAGAAACAAAGGGAGATGGCAAACCACAAGGGGTCTGGTGTAAACAGGGGAGGGACCAGAAAGGGTAGTTTTTTTAATGTGACTTCTAAGTGGTCTGTGTATCACAAACATGTACATGTACATTTACATGACCTGTACCCTGGTGTAGCAGTGGGAGATAAACCTAACTATGCACATTCTCATAGGAGATTTAAACGTAAAGGTTGGAAATAACTGGGAGCAATGGGAGAGCATCATAAACATGCTTATGGAGCTTGGAGCTTCAAATGACAGAGGAGAGAAGTTTTTGAACTTCTTTGCCATAAATAACCTCTACATCTGCAGCACAATGTTCAATTAGAAAAAAGACACTGGAGACTTCCCAGGGGACTTTGAAAGGGCAATCATAACACCTTTCTACAAGAAAAAAAGACAAGTTAGACTGTGGGAACTACACAGGAATTGGCCAACTAAGCCATTTTTGCAAGATACTCACCATAATACTCCAAAGACGAATCCTAACAAAGACTGAAAAAATTCTCTCAGAGGCCCAAGTGGGGTTCAGGCCAGGTTGGTCAATTGTCAATCAACTCTTTACTCTAAGGCAGACGATCAAATCTGGAAAAAAGGAAAAAGTGTAGACTTTGAAAAGGCCTTTGATTCTATATAGCAGGAAGGACTGTGGAAGGCCCTTGGCTTCTTTGGATTCTCCAGTAAGATTACTAGACTACTAAAAGCTTTCTACAGGAAATCTTCAAGTGCTATAAGAGTAAAGGGACAGTCTGACATATTGGTTCTCCACAACAGTAGGAGTCCAACAGGGATCCGTGGTATCACCTCAGCTTTTTAATAACTTGCTTGTGTTAGTAATGTTATGTGCACTCCATGACTCCAACATAGGTATCACCATCCAGGGACAGCTAACAAACATCCTGCGGTTCGCAGATGACATCGCACTCATCTCCAAACCATAGTCAACCTAGTTCACAAGAGTAGTACAACATTTGGATTGAAGATAAATATAACCAAGACTGAAGTCATGGCAATCTCAAAAGATATCAGCCTAGATATCCAAATGAATAGAACAAACTCTCAAGATGATGTGCTTAAGAAAAATCATGGGAATAACAAGACTAGAGAAGATACGTAACACCCACCATACATAAACTCTAGGGCATGAATCGTACTATTCTAGACAAAATTACTCAAAAAGGATGAGCTACTATTAAAGGCCACATCCAAAGAATGCGACCATCATGATTTTCCAAACAAGCACTAGAGGCACACATCCAAGGCAGCAGACCTAGGGGAGACTACCAAAAGAGATGGACAGACTGCTTGAAAGCAGACATCAGCAGAGCAGGCATTTACTCGTTGGCCACTGCTAGCTGGATGGCACAAAACTGAAAGGAAAAAAATGGCGGGACATCATAAAGCAGATGGCACCAGAGTAAACGCCATAGGTCAAGGTCATTCACAGATTAAACATGGATGTGATTTGTCCAGATTTCCGGATTTAAGTGCGGAAATTTGTGCGGATTCCGGATTTCACACGTTTTAGGCCCTAATTTACAATAATGGATGGACTGGTGACAAGTCTAATAAGCAATGCGGTCAAGAACCTGATAGACATCAATGCAGTGTGCGCAGCGGAGTACTTGAGGACCAGACTAAAAATAATTTTCAATGGGTTTGCACCTCGTGTTTGTATATTGCGTATGGATGTGTGTGTATTTTGCACGTACTGTGCAGTGATGATCGTGAGCTAGCAATTCGCAAACACATTGGTGTCAATATTGCCGCGATGAGACCCATCAGCAGTGCGAGATTTTGTCGAGGAATTTAAGAGTATGGTTGAAAAAACTGGTAATAAAGTGTCACTGTGGATGGAAATCAGTTCGAGCTGCAGTAGTGCTTTGAAAAATAGCCACCACTATCACAAAATTTCAAAAAAGTTTTGGAAGCCTGGGAGATTATAAGTAAGATTAGGAGTATTACTAGTAACTTTAAGCACGGTTAATATTTTTTTTGTGAATCGTTTCTTTCTCTCTGCAAACATGTAAAAGTAATAACATCACACACAGAAAAAGACGTTATTGAATCAATCACATATGGATTATATTATTTAATGACCAGACTTGTTTCCCTCATTTCCACCATTTGTTTTCTTTACTGAAGCGACAAAATTTGCAAACATGACAGAAATTACAGTACATAAAATGTCAAACTGAAAAATGTATTTAGTAACTTATGAAAATGTCTTTGATACAAAATTGACATACATACATTTGTAACACTCCCTGAAAGAATAGGAATATGATAATGTTAAATAATGGTTGTATTTTTTCTATTGCTATTTTCACCTTCATTGGCATGCGCACAAGGAGCGCTGAAGACATGCTATGATGAATGCATTCTTATCACACATAGACATCTGGATATGCAGGGGTTTTGTGTAATATGTGTTGGATATACATGTGTCTACTTCACTCAACTTACCTGTAGAGCAATACTACTTATGCATATTCCCCCTACCGGCAGGTATTTTCCGCTAAAAGTTATATACAATAGCGCCCTCTGGCGCCCTACCCATAATACCCCGCGGCATGCGTGCCTCGTGAGCGTCCTCTTTTCTCTTAGCGGCAGGTCGGGAAGGACGTGTGTAAAATAGCTCCTGTTTTTCCTCGTCAATTTACTACCCTTTTTTCACTTAATTAAACAACAGTTTGTAGAGTTTCTCATCATTTTCTTGGTTATATTGATTCGATTATTATGAAGCTTTTGGGGAGAACCGATCTGTCACAAACCGGGGGAATTCCTCTCCCGCGGAACGGACCGAGTTCTCGGGGGACTCTGCCGTTAACGCTACGTTAACGCAGCAGTCCCTCGTCCAGCATTCACAGCCACTGCCGGCTGGGGGCATTGGCAGTTCCGCTGACCAGTTGAAGGGGCCTCGGTCTCCTTCTCCGGTCAATTCAAGCGAAACACCCAAACAAAAGGCACGCTCCGGCAAGGTTCCTCCAAAACATACCTCCTGTGCCGGAGCGAAGCCTAATAAGAGCCGACAGGGCAACCGTGGCTCGGGTATGAGCGCCGCTATAGCCCCTGGCCCTTCCCCGAGCGCAGGGCAGCCCAAGGGGACTAGCCACCACACTCCAGTGGGCTCTAGTCACCCGTGCCCTCCCGACACAGTGCCGAGTACCACTGGTTGCCAGGACGGGCTGTTGCACCGGCTATCGGACCGACCAGCGTTCGCTCAGCCCACGGGGCCTGAAGCGCTGTCGGCCGGGTATGCTATGAGCGATGCGGAGCCGGTCGGCCGGAGGTTTCCCGGCCCGACGACCCCCGGTCTATCTCGCTCTGAGGGATCATTCTCGTCATCGGATTTTTTTCTGTTGTTCGAGGTTCCCGGTGCCCCAGGTGTCTTCTGACTTGTCGTCAGACACACCTGGGGTCATTCTTCAAAGAAGAAGAGCAAGAAGAAGAAAGCTGATCGCCGTTCACGCCGTTCTTCCTCAGATTCTGACTGCTCCTCTGACCGGTCCCATCGGGGCAAACGCTCCTGACGTGAGGACTCGATCTCGAGGTCTGATTTCCTGCAGGCATTTCAGTCGATTTCAGCTAAACTATCGGCTATGTCTACGGGCCGCCAGGCGGGCCCTAATGGTGGCCCCCCTGAAGTGGCAAGCCACGCCCCACAACCCTCGGTCGTTGGTCTCGCCTCACAGTCTCCAGTCACTGGTCACGGTTGAGTGACCCGTGAACAAAGGGACACACCGCACACAGTTAACCGCGCTCCGGGAGTCCCTACCTGCAGTGAATGCTTCATAGTCGTCATTCATTGGTCACGATTGCGTGGCCCAAGCACAATGAGGTACATGTACAAAAATGCACATGTACATACATGTTCATGTACTATGTACATGTACATGTTCATGTATACCACACATGGTTGCGTGCTGCACCGGAGGCCTGGCCTATGGCGAACGAAACTTCACATTCGCCGGCCGTGGGCCTCGGTCAGGTGGACCAGAGACAACGGGACCTACCGCACGCAGTTAGCCGTGCGCCAGGATCCCCGCCTGTATTTAGTCTTCACCCATCTACAATGTATGTCTATTATCTCCAAGGGTGTTGGCCAGCCTCCACCACGTGGTTCTGTACAACAATCCCCTCCAGACGGCTCTCATTCACCGGGGTCAACTTGGCCTTCGCAATCGGGTGATTCATCTGATGATGACGAAGAACCAGACCAATTACAATGGCTGTCCATCACGGAAACGGAACTCCGTTTGCTACAGAGGGACATTACATGGGTACTTAAATTACCCTCCGCTGATGAGCCCCCTCCGTCCGATCACAAATTTTTCAAATCGAGCGCAGGATGGGCTTCACATCTAACAATAAGGTGTTCCCCAAACCTCCGTTGGATCAAGTGTG